CATCTTGGTGAAACTTTGCAGTAATGTAGTTAGTAAATTATTTCGGGGGGATGAAGGGGATTCAAAAAATAAACAAACCTTATAGAGTATTATTTTTTTGGTTAAACTAAATAAACCTCATCTAAAAAATGTATGTTTTTCATAAGTATACACTGCATACATATCATCCATATTTGAAGAATAATAGTTTTTACAATTGAATTACAAAGGAGATCACCTCCTCTTAATAATTCAATATTATTTATATTACTCCAGAAATTCGTGTTTTTCAAAATTATAATTAATAATTACATTAGAAGAGTAAAAAAAGGAACCCACTTAATGAACATTTTTTAACTATTAGAATTTAAAAAAAAAAAATCTCAAAAGCAATTCAGGAGAACTATAACCTCGAAACCTCTCCTGGCTACGCCACTAGTAAACTTCAGAAAGCGTTTACGATTAATTTGAGAAATGCCTCCCACAATCTAAAATTTTTCTTTAGTAGATACATACTTGTACGTAAGTTTCTATGATTTTTTTTTTGCAGTGATTTTGAATTTTAAGTTTTAATATCAAAATGATAATATTAACTTAACTTTTTTTTATACATGTGTTCTAAAAAAGATGGACATACTTCACACGTGGGTACAGCCACTGTTGTAGGTGAGAAGTTAAGAAGATATAGGATACAGACGAGAATTCAATGTATATCTGTAGACTGTAAACAACGATAAACTATTGCTAACGAAAAAACGATTCTGAGCGGAATTCAGTGTTGCATTGTCAACAATAAATATATCATATTATGGTAAAATAATTACATATGCATTTTCTTTAATATTAAGTATTTGTTTAATATTGTACCTATTTTCCCATTTATTGGGAAAACTCCCGGTAAAATCAAAAAATTACCTTCTTAAAGTACCTCCCCAGTCAGATTTCCTTTTAGAAAAAGTGCTATCATTGTAAATCGGAGCAAAATTGCTAGAAGGAAAGTTATTCACAGATAAAAAATAAACATCATTGTATAAAATCATCAGCTTCTTTGCTCCGTTCAGAATCTAAAAACATTTAGATTCATTAACAACTCTGTGGCCTGAGAATGAGTTCTGTTCACAGATTCTCCACAATTATATATATATAATATACAGCCTTGTGACTTATCTATGGAAATTGTCGTATTATTGATAATGCACTCATAAATGTACTAATTAATATTCATACGCTCCTCCATTGCGTCATTTTGAAAACGTGTTGCTCTCACTTTTTAATTCTGCGTCGAATTAAATTCATAATAATTATATGAATTCAAGTTTAAACGATTAACTATAAAATTACTTATTATGCGCATACTAAATTCCTTTGTATTTTTTAAATATTCAGCTACGTTTGAGTGGGTACTAATGACGGTTATCACGGTGTAAACCACGCTACTAACCTGCTTAATTTATTGAGTTACTTTTTGCACGTAGGTATATAGAACATTTTAACTATACTCAGGAGCGAACCTAGCGGGGAGTAGGACGAACATAATACCCCTCCCCCAATAATTGTTTTTTTAACTTTTCAGTTGGCCATTTTACATTTATGAAAAACTAAATAGCTGTGCATAATGGCCAACTGATAATTTGTAAAGGATTATGGTAGTGATACTGAAAAGAATTACCTATTGTTGGAAAAATAAGTTGTAAACTGTTATCAGTGCGTTAGTAATAATAAGAGAGATATGCAATCGTGAGAGGGATTATAAATCCCAATGTAAATGGTACCCGATACTATAAATAGCCAACCGAACGCGGTTAACTTGATGTCTTCTATAGTCTAGAGTAATTCATTTTATTTACAATAATTGTACGTTATGATATATTTTTATCTGTAATATGTTAATTTGACATACATATAAATATAATAATACTTTTCCAGTTGTACTGTCTTTACTAATACTTTATAATAAATCATGTTTCATAATTAAAGTAGTAATATTTATGTTGTCTAATTTGATGATTTGAAAACTGGGGGTCTATTCTGCTAATGAAACTACACCAGGTACGCACGTACCTGGATTATTCTTGGCATAGTGCTATTCCACTAAAATTCTTACTTTGCATACTTTGCGTATTGTTGCGTACCTGGCTTTCTTAAAATATGATAACTACGACACGTCGGAGGTGTCGTTTTTGACTTACTTAACGTACTTTCCTGTATAATATATTCGATTTAGTTATCTTTCAGAGTTGTTATCAATTATCATTGATTGTTTTTATTATTATTTGCTTATCTACGGTACCCATGTGATGACTGTTGATCATTTATACAACACACCTTGTACTAAATGTTTACTTAGAATGAATGTGGCACGACTAAATTTTTTGTTTTCATTTGATGATGAACGAGATGATGACAAAAGACAGTTAAGGATAAAGTGAGTCCTTATTCGTCAACGGACAGTTTATCGGTTGTCCGACGAAGAATTTCGTAACTTTTGTTCGGATATCAAAACATACATTTGAACATAGCAAATAACTGTATTCGAATTCGAAAAATACTTAAACAGACTCGACATTTTACATTACTTTAGCCTCTAGAGATATTCCATCAATTATCACTTATCAGTTCATATCAGTGTTATCAACAGAACAAATACAAAAACTGTGCTCGTACAGAAAATAGCATAATAAAACCATTTAAGAAACATCCAAGAAGACTTAAGGTTAAACAATTTGATGTTGCTTTCTTCTGAAAAAGATTTTGTAGATAAAATTTCTTTAATCGATATGACTCAAAAATGGGTAACTCTAAAAAAAAGAAGAATATTGATAATCAATAATGATAATGATGAGAAATATTTATAACGCAATTAAAAATTTTAATAACAGTAATAATCTACTTTTTTACTATTAACTCAATTCCTTTTTTTTTTTTTTTTTTTAATACACACAATTAGCTATTGCTGTTTCACCATAAAAGTATTTTACTGAGACATTTTAAAAATAAATATTTTAAAATGATAAATTATAATTTTACACGTCATAAAGATTGAAAATCAAAGATAATAATTATTCCTATAGGCCCTAGCGCCATCTAATAATACATTATATTAAGCATATCAAGTATTTATTACTTTATAATGGATATATTTTCATAATCTATTAGTATTACAATTTTAATTTTTAATTCATTTATATCATTAGAACATTTTAACATTATAACGTTAAAATGGTTCCGACAAAATAATAAGAACAAGTAGTCCCGGATCAATTTTTAGAGTTGGCCAAACTACTAACTTTGACCCCCCCCCAATAACAACCTCCTCGGTACGCCCCTGACTATACTCGTTAATCGTTTTTAATTTTCACAACGATTCAAATGTGAACCTACATGTTTTTCATGTTTTAATGCAAATCATCAATCAGATGATTTTAATAATATACAAAGTGATTTTTTTTTTAAACATGCTCGCCTTGTTTCAAACAAACTCAAATTCTGATTTTTGGATTTCCAAGTGCATGCCGTTAACGACGATATTTTCGCGAATATAGATTTTTCACAACATTTAAAGAGTATTCTGTGGTGATAACAACTTCAGGTTTTCAAATAAGAACCTAAATATTTTGATGTAAACTGTCAATACGATTTTTTGAAAATGTCGACGTATTGTAATCGAAATTTGAAACGAAAATTTCTAAATTATTCAACTTTAAATACTAAAGGATAACTACACGATTCAAAACAAGAAATTTCTTATACACGATTTTTATGAAACTTTTTTTCTAGTTGATATCCAATCCCCAAAATAAGATATTATCGTTAGTTTGTTTAAAGAAGAATAACTCAAATAACTCAGAATAACTCGGAACTTTCCGTTTAAATTTTTATTACAATAGTTGATCAATTTCTATTTAAACTTTCGTAAAATTGCCTATGCGCAACCCCTTAAATATGGATGGCATCACGTCCTCTCAGTGATATACGCAGAAAGGGGCCAAAGGGCTGAAGTCCCCCCCCCCGTCGACCTGTTTATATATATATATATATATACACACACATATTTTTTTATATTTTTCAAGTTATAACTATAACAATAAATAGTAAATAAGGACTTTTTTCATAAAATACGCTATTTTTTTAAGTAAATAATTTAATTTAACACCACTGTCTGTTAATAACTTTACTATACTACTATATTATAGCAAAATAAGATTTTATTAGATTTATTAGATTATTATTTTTATTATTTATTTTAACTATATCACACTCGTTATAAACAATGGTTTTGGTATTATTACAACTTTGGTGGTTAGTGTTGCCGTACATACGCGGGCTTTCATACAATCTTAGATAATATCTATGATTGCAAATTACAATATTAATCATACTGAACTGATGTTAATAACAACCAACACATCGTTAAGCTAACTCATGGATGTTGAAGATAATATATAACCTTTAATTAGTGAAAAACAATTAGGTAGGTATGTAGATAATTTTGTTTTCACTTATTTCTCTTGAGTACCAAAGTAATAATATTTTGTATAGATTTTTCGTCATTGTTTTTGTATAAAACCTATCTCATAATTTTTCACGCTAAAATAACTATTTAATTATTCATTATGGCAGAAAAAGATCAAATATTTTCAATTTTTAGTTTGAAGAAGAAAAAACGGTAGATACCTCTTAAAACATTTTCCTTCCAATGTATACCTAATGAAGAATTAAAAACCAGATAAATGCACCACTGATATGATCAAATAATAAATTAACCGTCATAATCATAGTCTTAGAACCGTAGTCGTAACATTAATATTCTAAAATTAATTGTCATAAAATTACATATATTTGGACGACAAAACATTTTCATCGATATTTAAAATTTCCCGGTCTCTGATTGTACACAGTGTGCATCCAAAGAGGTTCCATGTTTAGATTATCAATAACGTTTACGCTGTCCCGCCCCCCGCCCACCGTAAAATAAACAGCTGTCTGCGCAACAATACACAAAAAATTTTCCGAGTGATTGTCGAATACTCGAATGTTGATTTGTGTGCGTAATAGCTCGAAAACCTGTGTCGAAAGTCTCAATAGTTCCATCCTACTTAGGTTGTCAATATTTCCGACCGAAATAATTGTATGATATCTGTTTATCTGTATTGTGACTATTGTTGGATTACGCGTTTTAGGAAGGCGAAACAAATTAATACATATAATTACTCATCTTCATATACACACACATATACATATATATATATATATATATATATATACATATTTGATATATATTAATTTCTGAGGTAAGTATAACAACAAAAGGTTATCATTAATTATTTGGAGGACAGAGACGCTATTTCTTACTGTTCAAATCAGTTTTCTTACGAAACTTGATTTTTCCTAATAGCATTGTATATTTTATGTTATATGGTCTTGTAGCGATTGTTATAAACAGCTTCACTAACCTACTTTTTACAGTGTACTTTCTTGCTATTAAACATTACAATTGTCATTTATCCAGCAGGTTTGCCATGTCTGTTTTGAATCATACTTGTGATGATCAGCCTGAATGTCCCTTGTGCATGGAAGCATTTGAGGTAGATGACCTGAACTTCTTTCCATGTACATGTGGCTATCAGATATGTCGCTTTTGTTGGCACCGAATACGTACCGATGAAAATGGCTTATGCCCAGCATGTCGCAAACCGTACCCCGAGGACCCAGCCGATTTTAAGCCACTTAGCCGAGAAGAAGTAGCAAAATTAAAGGCAGAAAAGCGATATAAACATCAACAAAAAAAGAACAAGATTACTGAAGATAGGAAAGTTTTAAACAACATGCGAGTACTCCAAAAAAATTTAGTTTTTGTTGTTGGGTTGCCTAATCGGATATCGGAAGCAGAAGTAAATATTTAGATGTTTTAATTTACTAACTCTTATTCTTTTCTCACTTAAATATACACTATACATTACCTTATATACCATATTATAGGTACGTACCATTTAATTACAATAAATACATACTTATTAGTAAATAATACCACAGTTATGTAGGTACACACACAAACAGTATACATTTATATTCCATTAATTAATGTAAGTCTTATTTTATTTTTCCTAGACAGTTTACAAGTAGATACCACCAAACTAAATACAAACAAAAAAATATTATTCATATTTGTTTAATTTTTTGTGTTCATCAAATGTTATTTTAGTAAATATTCCTTCTAATTTAACTCATGTACCCGCATAATTAAAAATTGGTTAATATATCACATATTTACATTTTAAACTACTTAAATATCCATACAAATTATTATTAGAGTAGAAACGTATTATTATATATAAGTATGATGCACCAATGATTTACTTAATACATCAATACATCATATTTTATAGGAGGATTTAATAATTATAAATAACAAACCTAACAAAATAATATTTAAGATAAAAGAAAATAGTTGCATTATTTAGAAAAATATGCCTTATACATTTTTTTCGTTTTAATACTTACTACACTAAAAATGGATGATACTTTAAAACAAATTTAACCAATCTATGTCATTTGATAAGTGAACTAATATTTAGATATAATTATCATTTTCAATAGACTAATAATTACTTATTTATTTATTAAAATTAAAAATAAATTAGTTTATAGTCGCTAAGTAAGTTGAATTTTTTTAAAATTGATTACCTAATATCTATTAATTTGTATTTTATGGTATATAAGTAGTTAGATAAGTTTCAGATAGTCAATTAAAAAGAATCTAAATTTTTAATTTAAATTTGAAGTCTTATTATGAAAATTGAATAAATAAATCAAATTAAACATATTAAATTGTTCTCTTATATAATTGCAGACGCTCAAAAAACATGAATATTTTGGAAAATTTGGGAAAATATTAAAAGTTGTTATAAATCAAAGTACTTCATATATTGGCACACAGGTAAGTTAATGTAGTAAAATATAGGCTCAACATAAATTATTATCTTGTTACAATTATATTAAATTTATTTAGTTACTTGTACCTAATTTTTATATTTTTTTATTGCATTGTTTAATTATTAACACACAAACAAATTATATTTCAATATATATATTTAACGTAATCATATTATGAATTATAAATTCTTAGGGTCCGAGTGCAAGTGCTTATGTAACATACTCTAGATGTGAAGATGCGCTTAGGGCTATACTTGCTGTCAACAATGTCATTATAGATAATAGAGTATTAAAAGCATCATTGGGTACAACAAAATATTGTTCAAATTTTATGAAGAATCAGCCTTGTCCTAAAACAGATTGCATGTATTTACATGATATGGGTGAATAATTAATTATTTTATTACTTACCTATAAAAGAAAAAAACTAATGGTAAATATATTCTTTTTTTTTATTTGCAGGAGAACCAGAAGCTAGTTTTACTAAAGATGAAATGCAGCAGGGTAAACATCAAGAATATGAAAAGAAATTATATGAGCAATATAATGTTGTATTAACGTACGTAACTATTATAATATTTTACATCTAATATTTATGTACACATAAATATTTTAAATCTTACTTACTAATAGTAGAAGACCAGAAAATTCTCCGCCTATTCAAAATTCTTCAGGTAATAATGGTGTCATAGAAAATTTGTCACAAAATAATAAGGAATCTTGGCCTTCTCTTAATAATAGTAATTCACGCAATCATTCTCCAGGTAACATGATATAAAACTATTATTTTATTTCTTAATAACTATTTATATAAGTACCAATACAAAGTAAATAGTTTTTTTTTTTTTACTTTAAAACTTAAATGATTTTATTAACTATATTTTTTTCAAAAATAATTAATATTATTTGTATATTTATTCTTAATTCTTAAATTACCTATTAATATACATTTTTACACGCCTTAATTAATCTTATTATATTTAGTTGAAGACGATAGATTATATGAAGTTGAATTTAATTTAACAAATCATAATTCACATTCTGATAAAACTGTAGAAAAGAGCGAATCTCACAATGTTAAAATCAATGGACACAAAAATAAAAAGAAATCTAGTTCACCAGAAAATAGGTTTGTAATCGTTCTTCATTATTAATAAAAAAAAAAAAAAAAAAAAAAAACTATAATATAAATTATTTATTAATTTTTTTCTCAGGAAAGGTAAAGTGAAAACTCCAAGTTCTATACCATCAGCTGAAGAAGAACAATTAAATACTTTAGAAGGTGAATGTACAGAAAATAAAAGAAATTTGATTAAAGAAATATGGAATACTGAACCATCTCTTAGCAATAATCAATCAGAAAATGATATTCAAAATGGTTTGTATAAAAAAATCATTTGGTGTTTATTATAATACTAATTATATATAAAATTTAATTGAACTTTTTCATTAGATTAGACAATTATTTCCTTTAATATTAGTAACTAGTTGTCCCACAAGTGCACAAGTGCTTTCCCTGTGCACAGTATTTTAAAAAGAAAAAAAGTTGTTCTCTGCTTCTATCCATGACAATGTAACAATCAAATTAACTAATAATAACTATTTTTTTTTATCTATGTTGCAAAGTTAACTGTAACGAGCCTAACGTAGGAATAGGATTTTGAGGAAAAATGTTTGAAATAAACCAAACTCTAACTTAAGTTTATAAATAATTAACATAACATAACATAACACAAAACAAACAAACATTAAATTTCGTTATCGAAAACTCTTGTTAGCTACCTTGAAGGGTTTGAATTTCTGAAAATCAGCTCTGAAGTGCACATAAATCTGTTTATATGTTTCTGTATGTCAATTTCAGATCTCTGCATGCAATAAATTTAGATGTAGATTGTGCACAGACAGGCAAAAACTATCATTCGCTTACACTTATAATTTTACTATAATATAAAATAAAAACAAAATGTTTAATACTAGTTAAAAAGAAAAATTATTGCTAAACCATAAATCACAACCACAGCTTTTTTTTATTTTGTATTATTATTATTTTAAATCAAATAGTATATATTATTGATATGTGTATTATTTTTATTGAGTGTGCGGTATTCGTTTAATCAGTTTTTTATTTTTATTTTTATTAATTGTATTTTTAGAATTATTTGAGAATTCACAAAAACCAGTTTCAATATTCGAACAAGATAACAATAATTCATTTTTCTCTTCAAATTTTTCTAAATTAACAAATGGTAAAACCAGTCCTGGTAAGTTCTTTTGTTTTTACATTATTAAACATTATTTATTTATTATCTATTCTGTACAATAGTATTAAACAGTGAACCCGATTGGAGTCCTCCAGTTAGTGCAATTTTACCTCCAATACCAGATGTACTACCCCAAGTACAAACATCTGAAGATTGGCAAGCAGCTTTTGGTTTTTCAAATAGTAGTAATAATTCACAGAATAATTATCAGTCTTCAGATATAAATAGAACAATGGTATTTTACCAGTATCAATTAAAATAAATTATCAATAAATCACATATTTGTTTGGTACTTGTATTGCAGTTAAATTTACCTTCAGATGATGAAATATTTGATCCACTTTCTGTTACACAACGTGCCCTTTCAGAATATATGGAACAACAGAATCATCTTAATATGTATCAATCTAGACTTCAAAATTCCGGGTAAGTATAAAAATAACTTAATCTTAATTTAAATGCTTTCATTATTTATGAATTGTTGGTTTAAAGGTTTCCTTACTGCACAAAATTAATGGATAATCTACATATAAATAATACGGCTCCAACAAGAACATGTTTACCGCCTCCTGGATTTTCTTCGGCTCCAAATCAAGTCAATTCCTATGGTATCAGTATTCCTCGTAACACAGGTAATTTAATATATATTTTCTTTTATTTATAAATTAAAACAATTTCTGATAGAACTTAAAATCTAGTTCATTTTATAAATTAATTATAGTATGCTTAATACTGGGAAAAACACCATTTATTGACAAAATTGATTTAATTTGTTATTTTAATTCAGAAACAATTGTAGAGTCCTGGTATTTTCACAGAATACTAATATTAGCTTTGGTACACGCAATATAATTTCAAAATATATTGGCTTTTTTTCTTGAATAATTTATTTACTATTAAAAATTGTCGAGTATTTTAATTTACGTGGATAAAAAAATTTGGTCCTGTAAAAAAGCTCGAACATTTAATACAAAGTTAAGGTAAGTTGTTAATGTTGTTTTTTTTTTTTTTTTAATTGTTTTATAACATGGAGATTGAGTGACGAAGCCAACCATTTTATTTTATGTTATTTTTGAAGTTTTTTGCAAATATGAATTTTATTGTAGTAAATAATCTATTATATTATTTAATCAGTAGACAGTAGTATCATTGTGAGATATAAATTAATTTAAAATAAAATCCCTGGCATTTGATCATCTGGCATGTAGCACGAAAGCATACTAATTTTTTTTTATAATATATACATCGAATAGAACAAAAGTTGTTCAAGTATCAGATCATCTAGGGATACCCTGTATATATATATATAATAAAAATTACCAGATTAAGGAGACTACTGTAGTTGGTAAACCCCTAGATTAAGAAACACTGGTTAGAGAACAATGAAGTGACCTCTGCTGCTACACAAATTATGTTTCACTAATTTCCTCTACCCAAACTTAAAAGTGGAATATCTTATCAACAGTTTGACAGATTTAACAAATTTCCATACCAAAATTTAATGAAACTAAAAAAACAAAATAAAATATATAAATTAAAAAATTTATATATAAAAATGAATAAAAGCGTTACCTAAAGTATTATAAGTGAATTATACAACCAGTTTCAAATTAAAAATTTATCATCAGGTATATCAATGTCAAAATGTAAAATGCGACTCATATATCACATAATACACTTATCATAATACTCCAGGCAACACATTTATTATTATTTTATTACAAAATAAAATGTCAATTATTTATGAAAGTTTAGTTTTAGTATAGGTTGTTATTTGATTTTCAAATAGCAGTAGTGGGTGGTTTCATCACAAATAGTAGTAACAGTAATGTTAAATTCTAAGCTCCTTGTTTTTAAATTGTCCTAAAATAAATAAATTCCAAAAAAAAATACATACTTTCTGTAATAATAAGTATTCTATTCTTATTTATATGCTCGTCTTAGAATTGATCACAATCCATATTAATTATATGACATTTTTTTTCTAAATGTGTTTACTTTATCCCAAAAAAATTATGACATATTTAGGGTGTATTTAAAGTTTTAGTTTTAAACTTGTTGACTTTTTAAAATACATTTATAGTTGCAATAATAAACAATAACATAACACAATGGTTTCAAATAATTAATTAGGGGGGGGGGGTAATACAAAGACAATAAGGTAGGTTATATATTTATTTAGTTTATATTTGTATACGAAGATAAATTATTGCTAACTAAAAAAGATTTGGAGCAAACTTAAGTGTGACATATTTTGAATGCCATAGTTTTTGGAGACTTTTGTCAAAATTTGATCTTAAAACGCTTTTGAAAAGAAAAAGAAACTAATGTATTAAACTCTGAAGTTGTTTTTTAGATAAGTATAACTTATAATGTACCTTGCTTTCAATCTTCAAGCGTTTCTCTTAAATCTGTTAATTCTCCAAGTCCAACTAAATAAAAATACACATTAAAAACATGACAATATTAAATAACTTTAAATTGTTAGAATGTTTTGAATATTTTCCCACGTTTACAAAAGACCAATTTAAGTATTTCATAAAAACTACAAATCTTTACTGCAATGTTTAACCAAATAACAAAAACCCAAATACCGTACATAATACCATGTTCTAACTTTTTTTACCGGTTTTCAAATTTATTAGAAAAACTGCAGATTCTTAATTTCATACTTAATCACAAACTAGACAAAATTTTCTTCCAGAAAATTAGCTTATTTTGAAATTAGGACAGACTTCTGGTAGAAAATTTTAATTAATAAAATTGTTACTCCATAATTTGAAAAAAATCATATTTTTGTCTTTTTTGGTTTCATCTAATTATTATTAAAAATACAAAATAGATTTATTTTTCATATGGAGCCATATTTCCGGTAGAAAACAAGTTGCAAAATTTAAAAACAATTATATCAGCTCTCCGTAAATATTTGCCATTGTACCAATAATTTTCTTTCCAATTTTTTCCCAATTATGAAACCCCTTGAAAAATCAGAAAAGATTACTCTCTATACATTGACGCAATATTCTGGTAGAAAAGTGTTTACAGATACAAAAAAAAAAATCTACTTCATAGTAAAACTAATAGATCCCTCACCCTACGCTTCGAATTTACAAATTACTGTGAAATATTATGGTTTTAGTAGTAAAAAATTATAATACTATACATACTGCATACAGCCAATATAATTAATACAATGACTGATACTCATGAATGAATGAATTTCCTATTTATTTTCTTGTTCAAAGTTTTGTAATTTTGCTATGTTGACTAGACTGAGATAATAAATTTAAGTAAAGTGCCTTCTAAAGTATAGATTTGTACAGAGTGATAAACATAGTGTAAGACGCTCATTATCTCAGAAAGTATTACATCTTTTCAGAATTGACTGTTGTATCCGTATTTGTTTTCACTTGTAATATGAGATGTTACAAAAGAAAAACAAGATAGCACCCTGGTTTCTGATGTTTGCAAATCATATGGTTTTGGTATACAAGGGTTTACAAGTGTTAGTGACCAAACTTGAAGATTAAAAAAATAGGTTTGGATTAAAACGAAAGTTTTAAATTTCAAGTTTGCATAAGGTAAATGAAAGTAATTGTAAAGGTCATTATGGATAAAAGAGAAATTTTATATAAAGGTTGTTTGGTAATTATTGATACATGATTATGAGTGTTGGGCAATAATGTGTTAAAATGAGCACGATTGATGTTTAGTGTGATCTGCAGGATGTATAGTATGAGGAATGAATATTATATAAAATTTAACAGGTATAGCAGAAAATAATAGATCCATTTTTAGAGAAGGATAAACCATGAGATAATCAAGATGATAGATGAATTTAGTGTGGTAGATATCTGGAAAGAGGTAGGCCCGAAAAAAAAAGTAACTATTAGATATATGAAGCAGTCAAATATATATGAAATGTAAAACAAATAATATTCCCAATCCACAGTTTTTCCCTCCTGATTTTTGCACTGAACGTTTGTACAGATCTTACTTCACTTCGTAATTCTTACTTTCTTGGTCCTGGTGGAATTTCTGCACGCTTCCTCTATAGATATTCATTGGATAAAGGAATTTTTCCTTCTGTATCTAAAACTAACTCCAATTTTCAAATCAATTATCCACTATAGTAGCCTCAATCTTATACTAATCTCACATCAGCATGGATTAGCATGACCAAAGAAATCAACTATTACCTATAGTGTATCGTTTCGTTCTTTTATATGTGACTGTATTAAAAATTATTTTTTAATTTCACATTATTATACCCGAATTTTCCAAAGCCTTTGATTTTGTTTATTTTGCTTTCTAAAAAACTTATGAATTTAAAAATTGGTAATTTTGTCTTGGCTAAATTCTTATTTCTTAGGCAAAACACAATTTGTTAAAATTAATAATACTCAGTCTAATATAATTGAAATTCCATCTAGGGTTCCTCAAGGTGGGCATCTTAGTTCTCTACTATTTTACCTGTTATTAAACTCCATTTCTGCAAACAAAAAAAGTTCTACTAGTTCGACTATTACCTCATCTATGATGTCCTTCAAATTCAAACTCTCTTCTCAGTAAGGTAAAGACGACCAGCGGTTTAAAAGAACCAATAAACCATTGATTCTCTTTGATTCTCTAGGATCTTCTGGAAAGTCTTTTAAAGTTCCCTCATATTCAATGAGTAACCCATTACGTTAGCATTACATATACCCGTTAACTTCTATTCTCTATCCCTAGTCACACCATTTTTTACTGTCATAATCACTCCTTCAATCGCATGCTCAAAGCCTATACTCCCTGAGTTACTTGTATTCGTATTTTGTTTATTTTTTCTATTGTTATATTCATACATGTATACTTTAAGTTTAAAATATAATATTCTCTTGTCACATTGTCAATTCTCATTTGGCGTTTATTTTTCCAAATAAATAAATAAATAAATTACAATTTTCACAATAATTAATTTTCTATTTTTTGTGTACAGGTAACACTAATAAATTGCCTCAAAATAATCCATTTGCATTACAACAACAATTACGTCAATCATCTTCACATAGTGAGTCTATACTAAAAAAAATTAAATTAATTTTATAAATAATAAACAATTGATGTTATTTAGATTTAGATTGGTCTTCGATAGATCCAGCAATAGTTACAGCAACACCTCATTGCAATTTATATACAACACCACCACCACCACCTGGTTTTAATATGAGACAAGCATTTGATTCAAATCTATGGTTGTTTAACAACCTTATTTAAATGTGCCTTTACCTCCATGTGATATTTGCGCAAGAAAACAAATAGTAATGGCAGACTCTTTTATTTTAATTTGGTTTGTATTTTATAAACATTTTATTTTTTTATTTTTCTATTTACATTTTTTTAATTTTACCTATTTGTTTTTTTTTTTTTACAGATCATGATTACCTAACAAAAAAGTCCCATGCAATATTTTAATATCAATAAAATACATAAATGAGTTGTTTATGATTCAAAAAAATAAAAATTGCCAAAAATTTATTATTAATACATTTATTATCTTAATTATTATTCTTATATATTATATTATTGAATATCATACAAATATTTAGAGCTGCTTTCAACGTCATTTTATTATTATTAATTAATTATTATAGTTTCATTTTTAGTTAATAGTTCTTTAAACACAGCCTAATCAATTATTAACTCTATTGAAATTACTGGAGGTAAATACGAACTGTGCAAAATGGAATATTAAAACCAATTTATTAAATTATTTTCGTCGATTACTGTTTTATTTGCTCAAAACTATGTTAGCAAATTGAGTAAATATCATACAAATGAATGGAAAAAATCAACCATTGGTTTTTTTTAATACATAACTATTTTTAGTATAATTTTATTGTGATTTTTTTAAAAATAAGCTAACTGTGTAGTACATTGTTTTCCAATTTAAACATTCTCATTCAATATTTATACTTTTTCTATTTATTAACCATAATACACATGACTTGTTGGTCTTAAGACTATCAAGATGCAATTATAATGTTTTATGTATACAATTTAAATGTTTCATGATATGTTGTTTTTAAAACTTCAATAATATTTGTATAATAATACCATATGAACTGTGATAGGTTTAAGAATGAAATATTCTGCACTAATACGGTAGTCATAGAAGATTAAGACTTTATAAAAGTGTAAATTGTATTTTTTGTTTACTTACATACTTGTATTTATATCGACAAATTAGTGATGGGTCGAACTGTTCGGATCTCAAACCATACTGAACCAAATTATTTAATATCCAATACTATTCCAAATTCAAACTTTAAAACATTGCTGAAGACAGTTCAAAGTTCAAATTTAATTCTTGTTGTCATTTTTGTTTTTCTCATCAAATATTTAATTGAAAAGGGGTATATATGCAATAACCTTATATATTTCAACCATGAGTATATTAAATATTGTCATGAAATTTGAAAAATCAATTTTTAATTTAGGAAAACCAATAAGTAGCAATATTTCACCATGCATCAATATCTTATTAAAAACAATACAAATCTGCTTTACATTATGTAGCTTTAATTTCTGTAATATACTTTGTTCATTTGGTTACATACTTACATCCATAAATTATTACAGTTTGAATGTATTATTGTATTTTCAAGTTATAAAGAGTAATATAATTTTCATTGTTGCTTTTTTTCCTACATAGTCTTAAAAATAAAAAGTAATTGTAATTATGGTTCGAAAAATATTGTCAAAAATTAGAGTTCGAGGCATCACTAATACAAACCTAATAGATTTGCTTTCCCTTCACTATACACTTCTTCACAATAGTTTTTTTTAGATTCGAAGTACAACAAATATTACAGATATTTTTTTTGCACAGCAAATACTTACAATTAAGTACTTAAATGTTTTACTCGGTTTCTTAAGAGATTTCCTACAAATTTAATTGTATTAAAAACAACTTTCTACGAAGTAAAAATGTAACTAATACTACTTAGAATCATTTACAATGATTTATTATTGCATACAGTATATAACAAAAATGGCTAACATGAATACAGTAGACTAGCCAACACCGGATTAAAGCAGATTTTTCAAGAGTACCTACTCAAATTACCAAGACATTTTTCATTACACCATCATTAATTATTGCATTTTAAATTACAAAAAAAAAACTATTTAAGTAATACCTTCAACTTTCATTTCAAAAGCGCGTTATCTGTGGAGGGCTATATGTTTCTGGAACGTATAATCTTGGAATTTATTTATTTGTTCAGAAAGTATTGCCCGGTCTACATAATCAACAAAGTATTTCTCCAAAATTTCAATATAAACAATTGTTTTTTATTATGGTATAACCAATATTAACAGTAATGGTCAACGGTGAATTTCAGAATTCTATGTTCTAGCAAATACATTCCGATCGAATACGGTTTTTAGATTTATATTCAGGAGAAATACTTTCCTGGGTTTAAACATTCTGAGTATTTATTCTTCAGTATAATACAGCGCATTGTATGTAATAAAAATGAAAATTGTATTACCTATGCAGATATTTTATAGATAAATTGGGTAAATGGAATTCCAAACAAAATTAGATAGGTACAAATGTATTTATATGTAGTCCAGATTACCGCATTCATTGAATTATTGGGATCCGGATTATCGAGGCTGTTTAGTATATTCATGAGCCATATGGATAAATACAATAATATGAGAACTAGAGCCTTATAAATAAAAGCAATAAAAATAGCTGATAAATAATAAAAATCAGAACATTACACATACAATTTTTATTATCACAGCTAAAATGCTCAAATTTAAACAGAAATTCATCATAAATTTTACTTGATGGTGAAAAAATATATATATATTTAAGACTTTGAAAAAATGTTATAATTCCGTTACAAAACTAATAAAGTAATAATTGTAGTATGACAATCATACATTATTTTAAATAATAGGAACTCAAAAATAAATTTGACTGACCCACGTAAGATCTATTGCTACAATAAAATGGTGCTATTCTTTTTTTTAAAATACGGTTTATACATTATTGCTGATTTTTCATCATAATTTATTCAATAACTATCTACTCCAGAAGAATATTTCAAAAGTGTAATGTTCAAGATATAATCAGTCGTAAATTTTCAAACAATGTTATAATTATAACCATATACTGCTCAATTTTATATTTACAAATATGTTTAAATTTAATTTTAAAACTGATAGTTCAGAAAGCTACAATGAAAGTACAATAATTATATTAATATTAATTTATAAACATTTTGTTAATAAGACACCTCATTGACTAATACTGAGTTATTAAAATAAAAGTACATTTCATTTATAGAAACATCAAAAATACTAAACTAATCTACATTAGTTATTTAAAACAAAAAAAAAAAATAAAAATAGGAATTTGAGAAATATACTAAATATGTCAATCCTGGGTAATTTATTCTTGAACAATAAGCATAATGCTTCCTTGGGGGTTGTCACATTCCACTTGATGATTGTTCCAGTCTTTACTTTGACAAAATGTAGAGCAATATGGTGTACGGCGACACAGCGAACACTCGGCGAATGCATCTCTATTACAATTGGCACACTACAAAAAAATTGTAAGAAAAAATGTATGGCCATTGAGTAAATACAATAATTACAATATATACTACCTTTTTGACATCTGGAATATCATCATTACTTGGTTGTAACCCTGCTGCCACACTTGATATTGTCTCCACATCAAAATCGTTCCTAAAAGAAAACACTTAAATGTAGGATCAATATTATAAAATGTATTAATTTGAATTACCTGTTTTCTATAGAATTCTCTTTGGCTGTCTTGAGTTCAGCTAACAGTTCCTGTTTTTCTGTATTCCACTTGTATTTGGCTACACGCATAGAGTTACGAAAATGATGAACCATTTTTATCATTCTTGAAGACATCTTGACATTAGATTAAATAAATATCATTAATAAATTAGATCAATAAAATTAAACCATAATGAAAAACTTACATTTTCTAGCTTTTTAAACATGTCTTCTATTGAATCATTCGATTGTACAATATCGGCTTGAGAAATATCTCCAGTCTGTATAAGTATTGGTTCTTCATCTTTAAGATCCATATCACAGTTGTCCAACGATACACCAGCACTACTATCACAACTTTCCTCATCATTACTAATGGCCGTGCCATCATCGAGTTTTTTCTTTTTTGAATTGCTGGACGAATGTTTTTTGGTACGAATTCGTTTATAAGGTGTGAATAGCCGTATAGGACCAGTCTATAAAATCAGAAATATATATATATATATATCAATAATTTTTTCAAAAATACTTAGCAACTAATACAAATAACAATGGACTTGCCGCTGTTTCGTCATCACAACAAGCTGCACACGTACAGCTCATAGCGTGCGGCAACAAAATCCCATCATATATTAATGTTTGCAAACTACGGCCACCAAATCGTATACTTCTTTTCCAATCTTTACTAGAAGCCCTCCCACAAAGAGCCTCAAACTCGCTAGGCGTATACCATTGATTTCCAAACTTAATACATTTTCCTCGGCAGCCAGAACCAAATTTTTTTTTATGTAATTCTGCATTGGTAGTCTAATAATTATAAAAATTGCGTATAATTAAAAATGCTTACAACAAAACGACATTATTCAAATCATATGTAAATTATATAATAGTATTTACTTTGCATCGAATGGGTAGTATTGGTAACCTTGCAGCCTCTGAATAAGAATAACATGGTCCCGTGTTAGGAGATGACACACCTTGGTCATTCTCTTCCTCGTGAACATTATTAGAAGTGGAGTTGTCTTGTCTAAGAACAATATGAGCGGTTTTAAAAGTACCATCCTAAATTAATAAAATACCATTAACAATTATTCATTATTTGAATTCAAAAAAATAGATATTACTTCAGCTCGGACTACAGTACGCCAAGTATCACTGTCCACTTGGTTGCGTGTATCACAATTTAAACAATTATTATCCACACACAATAATGGCTTAAAGTCATTTGATTCAGATAGCTGAAATAAAGATTAAAATTAATATTCTTTGTCCTAATAAATAAAGAATTTTGAAAAATATTACAAAATCATTATTTATTAGTATGCCATGGCATTCAATTCAATGGCAATAAACTAATGAAAATATGTATTTTCAAATACTTCTGTAGCTGTACAGTTCAGTTAATTTGCAAGAGTAGCCCTTATATTATAGGGGTTAGGTACTCTTAATCTTAATCTTAATTAGGTATATAACAACTATATACTGATTAAACCCAGTTAATACATAATAATATAATATTGATAATTAATAGACATATAATGTAAATACCTACATGATCAAATTATTACTTCATAATATGCTTCCACAACTCAACAAATTTATTAGAATTTCACTGGGTACTTAATTAAAATTTGTGTCCAACATTTTCTCTAGTAGGCAATATCATAATCAATCATAGTGAATAATTAGATCAAACATCAACAAATAGTTGAAGAGAGTAGGTAAAGGTACATAGTTTCGATCATAAATCTTAATATTATTGATGACATGCAGCTATTGAAGTAATTCCTTATTAGAGAAACTACTGCGAGTCTCAATCAAACTACAAAGCAAAATTGCACTACTTGCACATAAATTGTGGAGTTTAAATTGAAATTGAGTTTAAACACAAGTAACAAAATTTAAAAAAGAGACAATTTCTAAGGGCAATTTATATGTTTTCTAAAAAATTACCATACAAGAAAATAACGGCTATTTTAAAAAAACAAAGCCACCCATAACTTTCATGAGTAGTAATTTTTTTATAAAAAAAGATACATACAGCCCTCTGAAATATTTTCTTCTTTTAATTTTGTTACTTGTGTGCAAATTATAATTTCAACTCAAATGCCACGAGTTATGTTCTAAGAAATGTAATTTTGTTGTCGCCCATTATTGATTAATTTCAACAGAAACGGCACATACGGGTATCCCGTTGTCTAAACGAAATTATTCCATGAATCTATGGACCGTGGATTGGAAATAGTAACAAATTAGTCCGTTCTAAAATACCTACTTCAGAAACGCGACATTTTAACGCGCGATTAGTGATTACCGATTTAGTAATGGACGAGCGAATAACCATGTTATTGCTCTACGAGTGACACGCAAATCGCACGATTGCGGGACAGGGGACGTGTAAAAAACGTTTGCCAACGGGTGTCCCGTTTCTCGTGACTTAACTTTAGCGTCGAGAAACCCTACGGTTTCCTAAAAACACCACTCGTAATCGTAAACAATATCCACGAAACGGTAACATGACGACTACGGTAAAAAGAAAATGACGACGATGACCAACGGACGTGAACATTACCTGTAGCGATTCGGCGGAAATGACGTTGAACGTGCCTGCGGCCGAAACGTTAATGAGCTGTCCGACGGGTATGGAGGACACTTGTACTTGAGACGAGGCGACGTGTTCGACCGAGGAGGCAGCGGAGGTGGCGGAGGTGTACGAAGCCGAGGCGGCAGACACGGAGACATCCGACGGCGACCCGTCGTGGTGGTCTTCTTTCACCACGACGTCGGCGGCGGTGACGACTACGACGTCGGCGGCCCTCGTACCGGTCTCGGTCATGTCCGTCTGCTCGGCGACATTTTCCGAATGACGCTGCCGACCGCCACCGCCGTCGCGTTCGTCCATCGTCGCCGCACCCGACTGCAGTCGTTGTTGCTGTTGTTGCTGTTGGTGTAGTCGACGGTTTTGTTGTTGCAGGTGTTGCTGTTGTTGGAGTTGATGCTGATGGTGTTGTTGCTGTTGTCGATGTTGCTGTTGTTCGTCGTCCGCGTACACTATGCTTCCGCCGTCGATCACGGACATCTTTTCGTCTTTTTTTTCAATTAAATAAATCGACATGGTTTAAAACGTTAAAACACAATGGCCGTAACAGTATGATATTGAAATATCGATCAGCCTCCGACGACCGATTTCTTCACGCAATACGCGAGAAAAACATCGAATCCGTTTTGCCGCAAGTTCCCTCTCGTTTACCCGTTTACATTAACGGCGTTTCCTGTCCCGTGCGGAGTGCACGCCAACGGATCCGGGACGTGTATTGGCTGTCGTATACTCGTATTTCCAATAATGTACTCGCGATCCGCGTTATCGGTTTAACATTATGGCAATTTTTTAATAATATTATTGTTATCGTACGCTGTGGTTTGTACTTTTTACGCCCATAGACACTGACGAGTGACTACTGACTACACGATATAATATACTTTATCTGTGATTACGTCTCATTATCAATATACCACTGACGCGGTTCCTCTGGCGGAGAGATACGGCGACGCGTACGGTAGATGATAATATTGATAATGCGTACTGGCGTTTTTGAAATTGGCGTAAAAAACTGGACAAATTACGCAGGTACACTATTCTTTCTTTCGTTTACATTATAATTATTATTATTGCTGCATATAAATATGATATGATTTCAGCGTCAATAAGCACTGAAGATAAAGTGAAACGGAACAGAAAAATATAGCTTAACATTAAATAGATAATAACTAGTGATATGGGCACTATCGAGGATAATTCATGCTCAGCAGTGTATACTAGGGTGACCATACGTCCTGTTTTTTTACAGGATTGTCCTTTATTTCAGCGTTGTGTCCTGTTGTCCTGACAAACTTCTTTCAGGACGATTTTGTCCTGTTTTTTTTATCAAACAAAATGAATGAATTTGAAAACGAAACTTACGAAAGTAATGAATAATGATTATAATTGTAATCTTGTAAGGAGTTGTAGGAGCTTATCGGAGTTATCGGATTTACCGTTATCTGACTATGCTTTCGATTCTATTTATTTATATCACTGAAAATACGTTTTGTGAATACGGCGAATAGCGAATAGCTTTTAGTTTGGTTCCAACAATCTTTGAGTGTTGTCGACTTTTTGATAATCGTTAATATAATATTTTACTATTTTAGGAAAGTAATCTATTAAAATGCCTAAGCGAAGGTGCATATTTACTCCCAGCTTGAAAGTTGAATTTCGGTTTTTAAGAGATAGTGATGAAATCGGAAAAGTTTTATGTATTGTATGTAAATCAGTTTTTTCAATTGAAAACGGTAGTCGTTCAGTTAGTACACAACATGTTAAACAAAAGAAACATTTATTGGCCGTATCAAGCAGTTCTTCGAATAAGGTAACGAATTTTTTTACTAATGTACAGTCAACAAATGAAAGCAAACGTATTGCGGCGGAAGAGGGTCTTTTTCCATATCATACTATTATACACAATCATTCATTCAGGTCTATGGATTGTACATCAATTATAAAAAAAAATTTCGTGTGCTCGTACAAAATGTGAATCTATAATTGTGAATGTAATAGCTCCTTTTGCCATTCAACAGATGTTAGATGAACTAAAATCCGTTAAATTTTTAACAATTATGGTGGACACATCAAACCATAAAAATTTAAAACTGGTTCCAATTCTGATTCGGTATTTTAACCCCCAAGAAGGGGTAAAAATTAAAGTGTTAGAATTTATGAATTTAAAAGGAGAAACATCAAATATTTTATCAGATTACATACTGATTGTTTAAAAAAATATAATTTATTAAATAATGTTGTTGCATTTTCGGGTGACAACTGCAATACAAATTTTGGCGGCGTCTCGAGAAAAGNCAATTATGGTGGACACATCAAACCATAAAAATTTAAAACTGGTTCCAATTCTGATTCGGTATTTTAACCACCAAGAAGGGGTAAAAATTAAAGTGTTAGAATTTATGAATTTAAAAGGCGAAACATCAAATATTTTATCAGATTACATACCGAATGTTTTAAAAAAATATAATTTATTAAATAATGTTGTTGTATTTTCGGGTGACAACTGCAGTACAAATTTTGGCGGCGTCTCGAGAAAAGGCACAAATAACGTTTTTGCAATTCTAAATGAAAAATTAAAAAGAAATATTTCCGGTATTGGCCGTTCTGCTCATATTCTACACAATGCTATGCATAGTAGTGCTGATNGGAGAAACATCAAATATTTTATCAGATTACATACTGATTGTTTAAAAAAATATAATTTATTAAATAATGTTGTTGCATTTTCGGGTGACAACTGCAATACAAATTTTGGCGGCGTCTCGAGAAAAGGCACAAATAACGTTTTTGCAATTCGAAATGAAAAATTAAAAAGAAATATTTCCGGTATTGGCTGTGCTGCTCATATTCTGTACAATGTTATGCATAGTAGTGCTGATATTTTGCCAACTGACATTGAACTTATAATTAATAAAATATTTCAGTATTTTCATATTTATACATTTNAGGCACAAATAACGTTTTTGCAATTCTAAATGAAAAATTAAAAAGAAATATTTCCGGTATTGGCCGTTCTGCTCATATTCTACACAATGCTATGCATAGTAGTGCTGATATTTTGCCAACTGACATTGAACTCATAATTAATAAAATATTTCAGTATTTTCATATTTATACAGTTCGTATAGAAAAATTGAAGGATTTTTGCAATTTTGTTAGTATTGAGTACAAAAATATTTTAGGATCTGTAAAAACGCGTTGGTTATCTCTACAGCCAGCTGTTTCTAGAATAATAGATTTATATCCTGCATTGAAATTATATTTTATGTCACAAGAAAAGTGTCCTACGGTTTTAAGAACTTTTTTTAATGATCCTATATCCATGGCATGGTTATATTTTGTACAAAGTCAGTTGAAGATGGTATGTGATACAATAAAAAGGATAGAAGGTGATCATATATCAGCAGGAGAGGTGTATGAAGAAATTGAAGTGTTATGTGGTAAAATAAAAAATCGGAAAAATCAACATTTTTTTACATCAGAGCTAGCTCAACTTATTTCAGATCTTGATAAGAACAAATTGTACAGTGAAAAAAAGTTTATTGAAATAACTGATGAGTTTTATGACACGTTTTTATCGTACGTGGACATATGGGGATATCACTTTGAACCACTAAAAAGTTTTTCGTTGGATTTAAGTACTAGATTTTCCAATTTGGAGTGACATTCAAGAAAGTTTTAAATATATTATTAAGAATAATCCAACATTGAAATTCGATGAAAATGAACTTTTTGACGTATTTAATCATGTGATAAATGTAATGAAGGTTAAAATGCAAAACTGGAAAAATGGTTCAAAAACCGAAGATAAGTGGTGTGAAATATTTAAAATTCTAAAAAAAAATAACATTTCAATTAAATATTTTACGGTTATTTTAGAGTATTCGATGGCTATTCTAGGAACTAACGCGTCGGTAGAAAGAGTATTTTCAATTTCAAATTTTTATGGACAGATGAGAAAAATCGATTTCTTGTGGATACAATTAGATCGATAATAATCGTAAAACAACATTTAACTAAAACAACTTTAATTAATTTAAAGCCACGGGACAATATATACTTGGTGTATCTTAGCCCGTGCTTAAAACCAATGTTTATGATTTTCAAATAAAATGCATTTCACGTTTTTACCTTGGCGTTTTTTCCCTATATCCGTATAATACATACTACAGTTTTCAACAAACAAAATATTATTCTATTGCCAATTGTCAAGTATCAGTAACGTGGGAACAATTATCGACAAATATTTTACGAACTAATGACCAAAGAAATTAATTCTATACCGCAGATATATATAAAACATTAAAAACTATTTAATGTTTATACATTTTTATTAAAACATTTATCATTACGTTTATTACGGGAGACGTAGAAAGTGAAATTCTTGAAAAATGATAAAATTGTATTGATCACGGGCCGTACAATTTTTTATGTAATATCAATGTTATCTGTGTTATTATTGAAATTCAACTAGGTTCTGTAATAGGTATTACCATTTTATTTTATTTCAAACGGGTACTTAAAAATATTATAATACCATTATCATTGCCATATTTAACGAGATAATATAATTATTTTTTTTCACGACCCGAAATCGAAAAAAACAACGATACGAAGAATAAACTACAAACAAAACGAGATAAAATTACCTAACCCAAACATTCGCTATTCAGAAAAAAATTTAAGATTGAAAAAAACAATCAACATTCGATTTGGAGGCAATAGCTTCTCCCACCGATCTCTGGCTATTTTATGGGAGAAATTGACTGCACATTTTCCAGCGTTAAGATGAGGGTCTAAAGATAATAACTCCACCAACAATTTCATCTGGCCTTTTGTCGGCTTACTATTTGTTGTAATGTCACTCATCATCATTAAAAAATGAGTATAAACTAACATCACACAGTGGAATATAACAATGTAATGACAAAAAAAAAAAAATAATAATATTCTGTTTAGCGAAAAAATTGTCATCAATTTATATTTTATCATTATCGCTATAGATAATTCTTTATTATCTATGATGGTCGCAAATTATTATTTATCAGTAATAATTTTTACTGATAAAGGGTAATAATGAATTTATTGCTGTTACCACAAATGTTCATGTGAAAGATTTTATCGTATTCGATAAACGATAAAATTGTTTCGAGATTCATTCAAGAATAGATTTCAATAATCGCATTCGATAAATTTATCATTTTATCACATTCAATAAATTTATCGAATAATTTCAAGAATTGTCCATTTGTCATTTGGGCAATGTTTATAAATTATTATCTTTTTTTTTTTTTTTTTTTTTATCGAAAAAGTTTCTATTTTTATTATTAATGACAAATAACAATAGAGAACAAAATTAAATAAAATATATTTACATATAATAATAATACAATTAGATAGTTTTGAAAAAAAATACATATATTTATCACTTAAACTTCCTGATTTGAAAATAATATTAATTTAGTAAGTTTGTAGCTTTTTACTTTTAGCAAACGAGTTTGAAAATGTTTTTCCTAACGATTTAAGTCTGACACTCGGGTACTTTTTGGTTAATGAAGTAGTTAATATCAACTTCTGGGGGGGTCTTTCTAAAATACTTATGACAATCTAATTCACTAAATACGATTTGATCCAGAAAAAAATGTTCTCAGTCAAAAGTTTATTGCAAAAAAATAATATAATCTTTATATACCTAGTCAATTATAATATGTATTATGTAGTTCATAAATATATTTGTCTGTGATTAGGACAGCATACAAATTATAAAAATTTGAAAACATTTCCCAAATGACAAATAGCGCTAGGCAACGTAATATTGTATACGGAGTTAGCTATCTAGTTTTTATACTTCGATGTTCTCAACGAAGAAAGAAATAATTTTTCAGGAGAGCAGTTTAAAGTTTTCTAAGTTAAATTCTTATTCTGCATTTCAATTATTTGAAATTTAGCTTTTTTTTAATATTTACATTTTAGATTTCGTGCGTAGCGAGGGAGCTATTATTTGTACTAAGATGTTTATTTTTTCTTTTAGTCTGTTGACACATTTTTTCCTAGTAATTTTTTTAGAAAGCTCATGTTGTCTGGATGGTATTTTAAAGACGTCATATTTTAAATAAAAGCACTTAAGTGGGAAAAAACGTCAAATTTCACGATTTCATTATTTTATAAAAACACGAACGAAATTTTTTTTGATTTTCGAAACGATATTTAAAATAAAAAAAATTAACCGGGAAAAGAAATGCGATTTTTTCACGATTTCGTTATTTTAAATAAGTACCTACCACGTTTTCTAGCACAAATATGAATCCAATTGAAAAACGACAAGGGACCTTTTTTGTTGAATTATTAATCTTGTTTTTAATGATGCAGTTCGGTTTTTTGATTTTTGTATTAGTTTTCATAATAATCGGGAAAAAACGTAAGAAGGTTAGGTTAAAAAAAATTACGGCACTTTAAATTATGTATTACCGAACTGCGCTCGGAATCGTCTTTCATCAGCAATGGTTTGTCATTGCTTACAGATATAAATGAAATAGTCTTATGTATCCCATCTTCCCCACTACCCACTTACAACAGTGTCAGCACTCATCCCCAGTATCGACTCTTTTTGTTATTGCTATAAATTTAAAAATTTTTTACATTTTAACTACAATATAATTTACACATTTTGATGAATTTTGTCAACATTTAAACTTTTTAAATGAAAGAAAAATTGTATTTTTAATATTTACATTATTATATACTTTACATACGCACAATTTGTGCTATATGTACAATAATACCACGTAAAGCCCGGTCCACTCTAAGGCAACACATAACAATTTTTTAAGTCTAAGTATATTGACACAACAAAAGTTCCCATATAAATCCAGGAATTACTAAATGTTTCATAAATGATTTGTTGCAACTAACAACAATAATTATTGAGAAATTATTTCTCTTTGTTTCATGTTTCGATTGAAAGCGGAACATGTTTTACTACAAAACAGTATAATACAATATAATAAATTGGTAAATAGGCAACACGTGGCTACAAGTTTATCAGTGTGGACACAATTTAGTCCAGTTGTTTATCAATGTTGGTGTGGTTTGGTTGCCTAAATGTGTACGCTGTTTTCAATGTCGCGATTTTTTTTCACGTGTTACAGAACAATAGGAAATTAAAGATAACCTACATGTCGCTCAATGCTGCCTTTTTGTGGACCGGGCTTAAAAGTCACAAGTCACGCGTGAAGAACGCCCTCTATCCATGACCGTTCTACGTGTATAAAATACTCGTCTATTAGTATAAAATCTATGTTTTATGGATACTTAGATAGATTTTGTAATAAATACTAATCGGAAAATAATCTTGGTTACAGCGGTAAGTTTAACATTCAAATTGTTTTTAAGGGGGCTGAAGCTCACCTAGTTTTCATACGTTCTAAACCAATAAACTGGTGGGGAATTAGACATGCTTCCTAGTATTCGATTTCAATTTTTAAAGTATGTATGCATTTGTTAACAAATTTTCTAGGTTTATTAGGAAGCCGATTTTCAATTTTATTTATTTTAGGAATATCAAATTTATAATCGAAAATCGACTTCCTAAGATACCTAGAAAATTTGTTAACAAATCCAAATATATTTTGAAAATTAAAATTGAACATTAGGATATAAGTCTAATTTTCCACCGCTTATTGGTCCAAAACGTGTAAAAATTAAATTTTATATTTTGCGATTCTCCGTCGTTTCCACATAGTAACATGTGGCATGCGCGTGCGAGTGGTCGTCAGCGGCTGTCGGGTCTGCAGTACAATACACTCCTATGAGCCCATCTTATAGTAAGGTACCTTAGTTATCATTAATTCAATGGTTGGTTATAGGCTCTGTAGTATTATAACTACGTGAAACCTAATCATGAACATATATACTGTACCCAATCTATCAATTGGCGGAGGGTATTTTAAATCAAATCATACATATTACTACAGATATAGGTAATAAACTAAATTATTACCTGTATGCATAAAAACATATTATAATGAAAAATAAATCATACAAGTAAATCATTAATAAAAATGATATTAAGACGTTAATTGACGTATCTAATAACATAAATGACCATGCATATTGTCAACAAAATAAAAAAATATTTAATAACTTGACAAATTAAAAAAATCAAGATGGTCTTCAACTAACATCTGAAAGTGTTTTCGAAAACGTCAAACTTACTAAACAATACTTTAAGGCCTATAGCTATTGACAAAAAGCAATTATTTATAAAAAATAATGATAATGGTTCAAAACTTTCTTGCGATGTGTTCAAATTTGCTTCCAAAAACAAATATATATTTTGGAGGAATGTAGGAATAAAAGTCGCAGGAAAGAAAGCCACGGGCAGAGCTTGATTAACCAATAGGCTGAGTAGGCTAAAGCCTAAGACGACAATCGGCCAATGTTAAATTGGGGCGCCACAAAGTAATTTTTATTACGAACGTAGAACGTTTGTATAATATTACATACAAATAAAAGTAAAATTATTTTTTTTAACTGTCCCAATGTATCAGCATTCAGCGCATAATATTATTGAATTTTCATTATTAATCTTATGTGGAATATGAGGAAATATAAATATTATTGAAAATTAAATATTTGGTATAACGTTTTTATTACATCTAGGCCGCAAAAATTATGTTTGATCATAGCCGATGTTGGGTATTTTTGGTTTTACTATAGAGATAGGATTATAGGTGACGGACGAGTGACGACAAATATTACTTGAATTTTTCTTATCTTATCGATAGAGACGATAATTAATTGATACATTAATATAGAATAAAACTGTTGGGTCTGTACTCAGTAGTATTCATCAGTCGTCGTATATTTGTGTATGTGGAATATGTATTGTATATGATTTCCGATCATAATATGTGAAATGTCAACATTATAGCCGATTTATTCCTATCGCTTATTTTTAATTTTTGACGCGTGTGCACACGTACCAATTGTTTATCATTTTATTGATATATATCTTGAATACGAATTAAATTATCTTGGTAATATGAGTGAAAAGAAAAATGCTCCAGCTAAAGCCTCCAGACTTTTGAGCCATTAAAAATCCTTGAAGATAGAGTCACTATTTTCAAATGTTGAAGTGGCTCTAAGAATATTTTTTACTTGTTTTAAAATACAATATAGTTGAAACACATATTTTTTTACAGCATAAATTGAATGTAGATAAAAATCTAATATTGTTTTCGATCAATTAATAAATACAAATGTTCCAATGAAGTTAGTTTAAAGAAGTAGATTTTCAAAAGTATACAGAACCAAAAAACACAAGTTATTTATTTTTATAAAATAAGTTCTTTTACATCTGATTATTACAGTTAGTAATGTTGAAAAACAATTTGTTATATCTGAAGGTAAGAAAATACATCTGGTCATTATTATCATTATTATAATTTAAGCATAAACTACATAATTATTAGCTTACCTACATTAAACTGTGCAGACCTATTTTTACAATAGATTAAGTTGGAAATTTCAATTTTTTTAATAAAAAATAGAATTGTATACACTTGCAAATGATATTAGTAACTATAGAGAGTACCTGTAATAAACAATTTATAATAGTGCAGTTATATTTTGTGTTCATAGATTCAAATATAATTGTATGTATAAATGGGAAATAAATATTAACTTCAGATATTTGGTTTCTTTCTAATTATACTCTCAGAAGTTATATTTAATTGTAGTGTCTACACTACCTATATAAAAAGTATTTTCTATCCATTGATTCATTTTAGTTATTACTGACTTTTTTTATTTATTTTATTGAATACATTTTGAAAATCGAATCTAATTAGGTATATTCAATTGTAAAACTATTATACTTAAAACGGTCCAACGGTCGTTAAATACTATATTACATTATAATAACTCCAGTTTCATTTAAAACATAATTTATACATTTATGAAGATAAAATAGCACGAGTAATATTTTAAAAATAGATAATCTGAATGTGTTAATCAGTGACATATGGTCAGGGCAAGCAAGGTAAGCGCCCCATGCCCGCTCAAAAAGGAAAAAAAATAAAATGTGGTAGGGCCAAGATTTTACAGAACATCCAGCAGTTGAAAACACTAAATTGATTATAAATAATTTTAGATATTTTTTTTTTTTTTTTTTAAGGGGAGTGGAAACATTGATTTCCTTTCTATTACACACATGCATAAGAATTTTTACGTGTTCTGTTTCCAAGGCGTTGATTGGTTTAGTTAGTGAAGCGATAAACATTTTTAAATCAAATTTGAATGTGTCATGTCTACTTAAAATTGACCTACATTAGTGATTTTATCCCCTGAAATTTCAAAAAATGAAATATTTTAATTATTGGAAAAATAAAATATCAAAAATGTGGCAACTACTCGATTTCAATTAGACCTGACGAAAATTCCAAATTTGTTTTCAGAATTTTTACAAGGCCGATATTGGTTTATTGGAAATAGAATACACAGAAATTCTTATGTTGTACGTACATGTATAAGACAAGACAGAAAATCACCGCTTCCAGTACCCTAAAACACAATACCATAATGATATTATTGATGTACACAGATATCTATAAATAAATATTGTAAATTATAAAAGCAGTTAGCATTTTTTTCTTAAATTATAATTTACCTTTTTAATTTTTGGAACTTACCAAGCTTCAAATACTACTACACGCCACTGGTGTTAATATTGAAATACATTTAATTTGTTTTCTTGCTTTAACTCAAAGCAAATAAGAATATCTAAATATTGTTGGTTGGGGTATACAGGTTGATTCAAAATTTATGTTGCAGCCATTTTATCATGTAAATAATTAAAATAGAGGAAAACATAATACAAAAGTTTTCCAATTTATAAACATCTAAAATAATTTATATATTTTATTTTTTACTGTTTTTTTTTTTCTTTTTTCATGGGTTTAAGGGGTCAACTTTTGAATTTAAAATAAGAACTTATATTCAAAATACCATAAAGTGTTAGTTTAAGTAAGTTGTGGTGTTGACATTTTTGATTTTAGTCAATCCATTAGCAAGATATTCAACTTTTTAGTTTTAAAACTAACACCTAATTATGGAATTTTGAATACAGGACCTTGTTTGAATTTCAAAACCTCATCCCTCCCCCCCAAAAAAAGAAATAGTAAAAATAAAATTTAAAAATTGGTTTATTTTATTTTGCAAAATGGACCGCGACTCAAGTACAGCTACTTACATGCTAGCTTACAGATAGATATACAATTACATAATCAAATTTACAGTACTAATAGTTTAGTTGTTTATAAATTGATACATTTTTCTTCATTTTGAATATTTACATGATAAAATAGCTGTAACACAAATTTTCAATCGCCCTTTATATTATTAAGACCATTAATTTGTTATAAATTTGCTTTTATAAAAATAAAGTATCCCTTCTTTCTATACGGGAATTTAAAAATATAAAATAAAGAAACACTGTTCACTTCCTAAGTTAATTATTTAAATAATATACATTAAAAGAGTATGACATTCTTAATTTAATGAAGTTGCTCTACACAAATGCAATAGAGGAATAAGTATGGGATTTTTATCATCTGGCATTAGAACAACACCCTCGCTACCTTCAATTGCCAACATATCACCTGTCCTGTCTCTGTATGAGCCATATAGAACTTTCACATAATCATTGGGTTTGGGCATTATTGGTTCCAAATTATGATTTTCAATTGTTACTACGCGTTCTTCTTCAGGCAAATAAACACTACAGGTTGCTTCATTAACATCTCTAATAATTCCGCTTTGTCCAGCTAAATCTGAATCAGCAATTCGAACAAAAATATCTGTCGTTTGCCATCCTGGTGGTAAACCTGTTAACCATTTATTATTATTTATTAATAATACTTACAGAAATTAACTAGAAAACAATCAATAATTTTTCAAAATGTTTATTTACCAAATGATGTTAGTGATGGAGCGGCAAGTCCTGGAGAAGATACAGAAGATGGAGTCATTAAACTTGCATATGAACCTGATGGTGAGGGAGCTGGATGATACTGTATACTGCGAGGGCTAGCAGTATTTATTGGACTTGGAGTATTGATGTATGAATTACTACCTGCAATGATGTAATAATAAAAAATAAAAATGTATTATTAGAGATTAATTAAAGATGTCTCATAGATTGAACTCAATTAACTAAATTTTTAACCGAACCAAACTCAGGCAAACTATTCGAAAACCAAATGTTCGTTTTTCTGAACTACCGTAAATTGTATACTAGTGTGTTTAGCTTTATAAATATCACTAAATCTAAAATAATATTATTTTTTTAAATCTATGTTAAAAAATAGAAGTTCCTATTTGAAAATTAAAAATACTCTTAATGATTCTACCTAGGTCTTTTTTTGGAATTTTCTTAGTATGTTTATATTTAATTGTACGCTGTTTATTTTTGTTATATTGTAAAATAGTACATTTAATTGGGTATAGAGCTTAAATAAATAACAAAAGAATCACCCAATTTAAGTGAAATCGTTGACTGACAGAGAATCAATACACAAAAATATTTTAAGTTTGAGTTAATAAAGTTTGGTTTGGCTACTAAATGTTGAGTTCAACTAATATTTAATATTTATATAACTTACTGTTATATCCTCCACCTCCAGATGGTGATATTGCTTGATATGGCGAATAAGAATGATCAGAAGAACCATATAATGTATTTGGAGTCTGTGCATAGGGAGTACCAGGATCCATGGGATATTCTAAATCATTATCGGTCACTCTAGCAGGAGTGTATCCAGCAGCTGGATCCCAAGCTTGTGTAGGTGTTTTCGAACCATCATGTGATGGAGTTGTGCTTCCAAAATGAGGTGTACGGTTGCCAACTTCGTAGTTTGGCGTCATTGAACCTTGTACAGGCGTCTTGCCTCCTTCACGATATCCAGGGGTCATCATGGAATTGGCTGGTGTTCTTGAGTATGATGATGTCAATCTACCATCCTTAGATTGTTGTCCAACAATTGTTATGTTTCTTCTATCCACTGATATTGTTTGACAAGAAGAATGAAGTTCAACTCTGGCAAATGAAGTTCAACTCTGGCAGTACACTCTGTGGCATCTTTTACAATCCCAACAGCTCCTTTGTAAGGGCCACCAGTGATTCTAATTGTTTGACCAATTAGATCTCTATCTCTTCTAACACCACTAAATCTACCTCCTGCTCCGCCACCACGGCTACTACCTCCTCCACCACCACCACCACCACCAAATGGACTACCTGGTGTGTGGCGTGGTGATGTAATTTGCGGAGATGCAAATCCATTTTGTGGTGCAGTTATAGCTTGCTAATATAAAAATACAAATAATTAGGATCAAATAAAGAATTATATTATATTATATTACTTTATTTGTTGAATTTCCAGCTAATGCAATATGTCTTAAACGACAAACAAAAATTCCGCCATTGTCAGTCATTAAACGAGAATATAAAAAGGCATGGTGACGATATAAATGTTTGATTTCACCATGCATCCCCTATATAATATATCAATTTTTAACAGGATGATAATCAATATGGTTCAAAATAAAAATACCGTATGTGGACCATCAATAACTTTAACAATATCTCTTCTTTGTATTGAATTACCCAAAGCATCAACTCCAATTGTATTCCTATGTTCTTTTTTTTTATTTAGAGATTGTGGTTTAGCTTCAACCAACTTTCCAGCCATATTTAAAATGTGCATTTTTTCGCGTTCGATTCTCACAATCACTCCAACATTTTGTGGACTAACAATAATTAATATAATATAAATATATAATTTAATTATAAATTAGCTTTACAAATTCAAAGATAATCAAATTTAAATACACACTCTAATTGCACAAGGTCTCCCCATTGAAATTGTCCAAGCGAATCAACTCCAGAAGCCATGTCTGAACACAATTGCAAGTCACGAGGTAAAACTTCAAGTTCATGCATTGTAACATCAGAGAATAGCACAATACGATTTTGTTCAACACGAACAATAAGTCCTGTATCACCTTCATACCGTCCTCCTACTACTCTTACGTGATCACCTTGTTTGAAAAATTTGCGCAATTCACTTGCCATAAACTCTAACGGCATCTAATTTTAAAATGTACATAAATCCCATATAGTAACATGAATATATAAATTACTATTAATATTATTTAGTGTTACTCACTTTGAGATCATCATGTTTGGGCATAATAGTAACCATATCACCATCAATTGATAATACTTTTCCTTGTAAATTGATTAACTCTCCAGAACACACTTCAACATTATCACCAGAGCTCAACGACTGACTGTTAGCAGAATTGTCTTTATTGGATACAGGCAATTCTATATCTATGCCTTCAGGGGCTTCTTCAAACTTTTCAAGCTCAGAGAGAGTGGGTTTGATTCCATCAGCAGTTATTGCATTCATATAAAAGTTTTTGTATAAAAATCCTTTACGACTGTAACGGTTTCCTTCAAATATTAAAAAATCACCATCACTAGTAACTTCACCGCCAATAGCTCTGATTGCCTCTGGATCAAATGGTTTAGCTGCAGGACGTCTTTTTTTTTTCCTTTTTAAAGCTTCTGGATCCTACAAATATAAATTTAATTATTATACTTTTGTAACATTACAAAAAATATATAACAGTATACCATAGATGCTCTAAGAGCCCCACGTGGTCTAGTATAATCGATCCTAGGGAGTAGTTTCAAATGTACATGATTTTGAGCCAAATCGACATAATCCACTTGAGCAATATCATCTTTATAAAGACCTGCAAAAAATTAACTTTGATAAATAAATTATTCTTACAGTTTAATTTAAATTTTCAACACAAAAATAATAACATACCTCTTTTTAATCTAACCCATTGTTTAGATCTTAAACCAGTTTGAACTTTAACAACTTTCAAAACATCTGTCATTTCTTTAATAGGTACCATTTGCTGTTTCCAAAATCCCATTTTAAGACTGCTAACATTTTCAATAGCTGACTTCACATGAGTTTGTTTGTATGATTCAATATATATATAACCCTTAACACCTTCAGGAGAGACTATAGACTTTATTTTCAATGGGTTTTCAGTTAACTGATAAGCAATAAACTTGCGCATCAACAATAAAGCAGTGTTTTTCTCATCACCAATACGACATTTAACCATCCATAAATTAGGGTCCCTATAATGAGATTTATGTATAATACACGTTTTACATGTGACACATAAATATATATATATATCTTACTTAACACCAGGTAGAAGAGTTTGTTGTGTAATTTCATCAGCTAACTCTTCACCAGCATCTCCAAAATGTTTAATCGGTGCTGAAGCATCTGCATATTTTTTACGCAAGTACTCTTCAATTTCATCTTCATTTTGAGAACTGAAAATATTAAATTAAATTTACATGATAAATGATATAATTACTATTTATAATTATTTAAAATATTTAAATATACAGAGTATAACATGAATATCTGAAACCTGATATAATAACTCATTGTTTATTCAATATTATAAAATTATCTGTTTTATTACAAGTTGCAACTATCAACTTTTTGAATTTGCATAAGCTGTGCTTTTTTTGAGGAGGGGGGTCTTTTTACAAACAATTTGACTAAACCTATTTTGTTATATAGTCTAACATAACCTAACCAATTTTACTAGCTTCTACTACTACTCTACTATTTTGTAAACTATTCTGGGTACCAAAATTTAAAGAATGAGCTGGATAATATACAAAGAATGCTCTTGGTTCAATTTCTTTAATTCTAGCACTTGTAATTCTTCATGAATTCCAGAAACATTGCTAGCACCATTGAAAAAACATTGTGCTCTAATGATATATTATGAAAATCTATTTCTAATCTATACAAAATATCTTTTAAAATTTTTAAGAGTATTAGAATCTGTTTTTCATTCAAAAGCGTTTCATTAACACCCATAAAATATTGTTCTATTTCAAAAAATATTGTATTCTTCTATTCTTTGACAGTAATATGATTACTTTCATCTAATAAAATGGCATAGAATTTTTTTGTTTTGATACTTCAATTTGTTTGATAATGTGTTTAATTACTTCAAAAATGAATAGATAAAAATACAGGTGTAACTATAATTTGGCAGTCAGTTATATTTAGTTTTACAGTTATTAGTTTTTTAAATTGCATGGTATTGAGTACAGCACCCAGTCTTACATAGTGAGGATGAAGTTTACAGACTATCAATTTTTTTCGGTATCAGGTTGGAAATGATAAGGTAGGCAAGTGATTTAAAGTTTATCATTTTGAAATATGTATAAGTTAGACATCAGCTCACGAAGCAAACTCATGGTGTTCACCAAGTCCTGGTCTCACATTTTAAATAATTCATTCGTTTTTTCTCCCAATTAACTATACAAAGTTATACTTCAACATAAAAACACAAAATCACAAATTTCAAAATTAAGTCTGTCAAACAAATTCTGACCTCGTCATCATTCTTAACTCATTTACAGATTCACTTAGGTTGGTGATCAAAGCTATCAGATGAATCAAATCGTCTTTTACTTTATGCATATACCTATAGTATTCAAAACACTAAAATTTAAAATAATAATAGTTACATAAAAATGTTGATGGCACCCTCATTGTAAACATTGGAAAACATGGCATTTAAAAAACATTTTTTTTTAAAAAAAAAACCATGAAGTGCTAAACTAAATTTATAGTTATTTTAGGAGTCAGATTTGAGTTATACCCTATAAATAATTGAATAGTTAACAAATTTATCTTACTCCCAAAGATTAGTTCCACGTCGACGTCCTTCAATTTCCCTAGCAGTAGGACCCAATTCATCAACTTCATTAGCAACAATACCATATTCTCCTGCTCCATCTTCCCAATCATCATCTTCTTCAACTTCATCATCAACATCAGCTTCATCAATTATAAAACCGCCAAAACGTTCATTTTTCTTTTTCTTTTTGCCTGGGCGATTATCTTCTTCATCTTCCTCTTCATCATATTCCTGACAAACACAAAAGTAATAATTAGGTTCAATAATAATACCCCAAAGAAGTATAACTTACATCCTCAGAATTTAGATCTTCTCCTTCAGGTTCTTGTTCATCGGCAATTTCTTCTTCTCTGTAATAAAAATTAAGTTTTAGTATAGATTGTTGATAATAAAAATTGTGATACTTACTGATTATTTTCTTCAGCTTCGGATACACTTGGTGAACGGTCCACTTGTGAATTTGAATCTTCCTAAAAATAATTATTTAAACTATGTTGTACGACATTAGTTTGGGTCTATTACCTCCGGTTCACTACCACTGCCACCATGATAACTCCCTTGATCACTGTCGTAGTCCGACATTATTATTAAAAGTTTATAAAATCAACCATAATAATATAATAGTTTATTACATCATGAATTCAACAACAATCTACAAGAACTTATTTTTCTTGACGATATTCCATTGTTTAAAATTTAAATTACAAAATAATGTGAGATAGCGATGTTGAGAAAGTCGTGAACTCACAACGCGATTCCGTTCTAAAAAATGAAAATTGACACAATAAAAAATTGGTATCACTGATATGAATAACCATTTCTTTTATCAGTTTTTATCCAGCTGCAGCTTAGACCTTACACCTTATAGCGTTTTCTACCTGACTGCACCGTTGCACCTAGAGCGGGCAGGTTATATCGCCCGATAAACTATCCAGTGCAGTCGAATCATGAATCACGTGGGACATGATTTTTACAGTTTTAAAGTATAAATATAATATTAATTTTGTCTGAAAAAAAAGTTTAATAGTTTACCTATGTATTATCAGTTAAAATTATATTATTATTAGTCAAACATCGAGATTATCATCTTTATCTATAAATGTCTATTGCGCATTTGTATCAGTATTCGTCGCATATTTATCGTATAAATCGTATAATCATTACAATACCATGGTAGGTACATCGCACGAGATTACGTGAATTCGACAAATTGCGTGTGATATAAATTTTGCGTTTGCGTATTTGTCCCAACTCCCTGTAATTATGTTTGCTTCAAATATTTAGTTAATCAAGAAATTCGTTTGTACAAATCGGTGTAAATTTCCTCTTAAAAATCAAACCGGTGTGAATTTGAGAAATTGTTTGGAGTAACCGGTGTTAAAATTAACAACACTGGTTTAATTTTTCTGCACCACCACATGCATATAGTGCAAACTATTTACGCCAGTATCATCCCCTCGAAATAATAAACGGACAGATAAATGTTAATAATAATAATTCAATTGATAACAATACATATTCAAATTAATTTTTATTAAATACTTATTAGCAGGAAATGGGAAGTATAGTATAGGTAATACACTAATAATTTAAATAATGTATTAATATTTAATTGTTAGTGTTATCACTGTTCATTTTGGATAATGGTGGAGATACACCGATTTCCATTGTCTAATATCGGTAATGGGTGTTGTAAAATTGTTTTTACAATATTGAATATAACAAAATATTTTTCATGGAACGCTTGAGAAGAAAAAAAAATTAGGTAATTTTTGACACGTAGTGTTAAAAAAGGTTGCCACCCCTGTCCTAGGCATTTTTGAAAGTCCCTTTAACCATATTTGGTATTTAGTTTGCAAAGTATGTTTTGGGACTTGAATCCGAAAACTAAATTGTCTAGACTCGTATATAATGCATTATTATTAATTTAAACTAGGTAAGTGATGATTTGACCCGATTTAAATTTATAATATGTATATTAAAATGTCAGATTCTCAGAATATGTTTATGGTGTATAATATCAACAATGTTTAATGACAAAATTATTCTTAGCAAAACGGTAAACACTTTATTAAGTACTAGCTGTACTTTTGTTCCATTATCTAAATGTATACGCAAAATAAATTGTCAATATTAATGCTTCAGAAGTTATTGACGAATTTGAAAGTCTGATGCACCATTTCAAAGATGCTTTTATTATAAAATAAAACTAATATACTTTTTATCTTTTCACTAAGCATATTACAATTTATATAATTTTCTATAACCTAATTAAAAGAAATTTTAATTCACCTATCATTGACATTTATGGGCACAGTCTAATGTTGAACCCTAGTCTTCCCTGCCTGTTAAGAGGGAATTATACAAAAACGTTCAAATGTGAATAATCAAAGTACATTAAAGAATCGACATAAACATTAATTTGTCAAAGGCAAGAGTGAAAATATTAACAATTGTAGAATATTGTAATAAGAAAATTGTTTATGTTTGATTTTCAACAAAACATTATACAGTGAAACTTACGCCAACGGTCACCTCTATGTAACGGTCATTATTTCCGGTCCCTTCGATGACCGTTGTATGATAATTTTACTGTAATTAATAAATACATGCTAGAGCATAATTGTGGTAAATGGTAAAATCAAATACAATAGATCTATAGTAATAAATATTAAGTAGGTTTATGGTAAGATTTCAAACTAACGAACTAGTTAATAGTCAATAATAAACTACTATTGTAGATAGTAGTAGTGGGTCAAAGAAATAATCAGTTACTTATCACAATAATGATAAGAATGTATTATATACAAAATACATAATGTACTCCAGGTAGAATATTTACTGATTCGCAAATATTATGAAGACGTTTTTTAAATTTTATTTTCCCAGTTTTTGGCATGAATCTTTTTTTTTCTTATTAATTGTCAGAGAACGCTCCAGACCCCGATCATGGTACACCCATTTAACCCTTATTTTATAGTTAAATGGGTATATAGAGTAGTAATGTAGGTAGTATGTGAAAAAAATATTAGACAAATACAACTTGTATAACAAATTACATTCAAGGTTTGAAAATGTATGAAAATAATAATTTTGTCCCTGTTTTAGAATCGAATAGGAAAATGGGTTTTATTGGATTTATTGTATGTTTAAACTCATTAAAGCACCTATATTCCAATTTTATAGCAACAACCAAGTTAAATCATTTAAAAATGTACAAGATAAGTCAAGACCATTTAGGATTATTCTTTGGCGGTGTGAGGTCTTTGGGTGGATACAACAACAATTTTACAGCTTAACAGCTCTAATCAGCGTATAAAAACCTTGTTGTTAGAATAAATGATATCCCTAGTTTTAATACAGGTAATTGCATCCCACTTAGCAACACATTGATATACTATACTACTCAAGTTCAGATCCAGTCATATTTATCAATAGAACATTTTCCAACATTAACTCAGATATAATTGATTTTGAAGAAAATATTCAAGAAACTGCTACTTAAAATGATTACGATTATATTGAAACTCAAGATACCTACACCTTTAACCTTTTTTTTCAAGAAATAATCATATAGCTAGGTTTGTTCGTATGTTAACGTTGATATTTAAACAAGAAATATGTTTGAAAAGTTTATTTTCTCCTGATCAGGATTCATTTTTAAACTCATTTATTAGCTTAAAAATTAAAGGTGGAAATAGAGGGATCTGATCTATCCGAGTGATAACGTAATTACTATTTGTTTTCAGATTGAAAAAGTCTTATGTAGTTTCAATTATAAAAATAAATCTGTTAATGCAATGTTAGTTAAGTAAATTAATTAATGTAATATAATGACGCGGTTATGGTTTGTTATTGAATTTTAATAATTCCTTATACAATTTAAGAGATGGATAGAGATAATATATTTTACTTCAAAATATCTTTTACCAAAGGTTCAAGTCCAATAAAAATGAAACATTAACTTAGTTACAACCATATTTGTAGAAACTTCTATAATTATACTATACTATTATACAATATACTTTTACTCCCTTAAAGTTAGCTACGGCCTACTATTTCTAGGATTATTTGATAAAACTTAAGCATAAGGTAGACTCCATGAAATAAACTCAATGTTTTACATAATTTGTTTCATTAAAAATGGCCACACTGTGAAAAAAAGATATTGGTCCCCTTAATATTTATCGATACAGCCACTCTATACTCTCTATGAATGGGTACCATAGATAAAAAATACTTTATAATACCTATATTTTATATTTATGATAGGTTCACCTATAAAACTACAGTCTTAGAAGATATCTTCCAAAACCGTGACCTAGACTGTGATAGCGTGCTATGTGATAGGCGATAGCCTAATAGCCCAACTTGTTTTAAGAATTTATTATGGGATACGAGTATATTTCTTTTAATCCGATCCAAGTAAAAGTATCGAAACATTGTATTACTACCAAAAAGTACTCGTATCGATAATGTATCGTAACATGGCTAAAATTATCATAGAATAAAATTGTAATATATCTCAATGTAAAATATACATCAGATTATCCGATATTAGTTATGATGGTATTACACTATTATGAAGAAGACGACGACACAACGTATATGCAGTAGCTAAATATCCTCTTCATATAAGGTATAATCGTAGCTCTATACATTGTATATGATCTAAGGTTGTTAGTAATATTGCTATTATAATATCTACATTAAACCATCAAAACCCCTCAAAATGTTAATAAATTCTATTATTTTCACACTGAAGAAAAAAAAATTAATAACTTACTAATTTGTTTTATACAGCTTAAAAATGTAACAAACAATAATAATAGATTTGTTTTGAAATATGCAAAAAATAAACATTAATTACAAGTAAAATAAAATTTCAAAATAATTGCACACCTATATAGAAGTATGACTTGTATTGGAGGTGTAGTTTTTAAATCAAAGTTATACATTATAGTGTTAAATAGTTAATGTGACTTATAAATTATAACAGATAACCGTTTATTACTAGGTAATAGGCAGTAATAATAATACAGCAAGTAAATAACATTAATGACATTAACATATTATGCAATTATAAAAAAATGTTTATGAGAAGACATAATTATAATTAAAACTAATGTTTTATGAATTGTATTTCTTTGAATTGAAATAATTGTATACAAGTAAGTACTGATGATAATTTTATTAGAAACAATAATTAAAAGTAAAACAGTTTTTTCAGTGGTAGGTGTGTCTTAATTAAACAAAGATAGGCAAAAGACTAATAATAATCAAAAAAACCTAGAAAAAAAAAATTTGTCTAAAAACATCTGAAATAAGCCAAGTACTTTCAAATTCCATATTAAGGATCATAGTATCATGACATGAGTTTCTTGGTAATACCTATAAGTATAAAGTTTTAAGTAAAAATAAAAAACCACAAACGTTATTTTGAATAACATTATTTGCAATTATTTTGTCACATTACAGTTACGTTTATTGTTAATTATTGATTATGATTAATGATATGTTACGTTAAATAGTATACAATTTTTTTTGTTATACTATTCAAAATAATGTTTTGAAGTCCTAGTATTTATAAATATCTAGGTACATATCAAATTTAAAATATATACTTATATTTTATTTCAATAAATCTTATTTAAATAATCTTTAATTTCATTAAATTTGAAATCCATTGGCAGTAATTCTGAAATACTTGTTACAAGTACATTGCTACCTTTGGGTTGATATAAATAAATTGCCACATCATCATTAACATTATTGAATTCACTTAAAAATTGTCTACAAGCACCGCAAGGTGAAACAAATTGGTTATTGTTTAACCCAGCAATTGCAATTTTAGTGAATTTCATTTTTCCTTCACTCACAGCTTTTACAATAGCAGTACGTTCAGCACATATTGCAAGTCCATATGATGCATTTTCTACATTGCAGCCTGCAAAGATAGTGCCATCATCACATTGTAAAGCAGCTCCGATTTTGAAGTTGCTGTATGGACAATATGCTTTTTCTCTAGCCAATGTGCTCATAGTTATTAAATGTTGAACATCACTATCTATGGAATAAAATTACTAATGTCAAAAAATGTTAAAAATTGTCATGTCACTGTGACTTGTTGTGGATAATAAAATGTATATATTTATTTTAATGAATACCAAGTTATTTAAATACTATACATATGTAATTATTTCAGAATTATTTATATTTACTTAATTTATCAAGTGGTACTATTTTGAATGATTTTCCAGCAGAATCCATTTAGAACCAATTTGAAAGTAATAACTTATTACTAATAGGTAGATAACAGATGTGAATTTATACAAATATCTAAAATCATATAAAAAAATGCAATAAAAGTTGATGTAAAAAGTTACAACTAAAAAAATACATCATAAGTCACCATTATTAGTCTCAGTACCAATCATACTACGTAACATAAAGCAATTATATTGTAACTGACCTGTACTAAATAAAGAATATAGGTATTATTATAGACTAATTAAATGCTTTTTTGAAAAGCAATACATAAAACTATCTTCTTAGAAATTGATTTTAAAGCAATAACATCTATTTCAAAACAACCTAAATATTAATCTCATCCATTGTGAAAAAAATTAAACATTAACCTTTTTCTTATAAATAAGATTAAGGTCTAAATATGTATGACCTGAATTAACTTGTTATGTTATCAAACATGTATATCATGTGTTTATTACACAATAACACATGTAAATATAAAAAAAAATACGGACATACTTCACACATGGGTGGGCTATTGTTGTAGATGAGAAGTTGGGAGAGTAGTAGAGTAAAAATTGAATTTACATTTGTAAACAATTCTATTAAACAACCATTGCCAACGAAAAACCGATTTTAAGTAGATTTCAGCTGATAATGATGCTTTGTCAACAATATATATGTCATATTATAATAAAATAGTTAAATAGGCTTTATATATTTTATTTAATATCTTTTAGATTTTGAGTGGAGTTAAAAAGTTTATAGTTTTACAAATGTAAATTTTTTCAGTGGATAATTTTCAACCAGAAATCTTGTTCCGATTTTTAAGTGTAGCACCTTTTCTGAAAACAAATCTGACTGGGAAGGTACTTTAGGAAGATTATTTTTTGATTTTCCTAATAAATTAAATTAAACGGGGAAATGTATGAAATGTAGGTATTAGTTGATAGAACTATTAATCCCTGGGAGTTTTCCCAATAAATGGAAAAAACGGAAAAATACATACAGTACTGAACAAATATTATATAATAACACAAACCTACACAATTATTACGAAAATATAGAATTTAAGATTCTGAGTGGATTGAAGAAACTTATAGTTTTACAAAGATATTTATTTTTTTTTTTATCTGTGCATAACTTTTATATTAGAAGATTTGCTTGGATTTCTACGTTTAGCACCTTTTTTGAAAGTAGAGAGGTATTTTAAGACGATCATTTTTTTCATTTTCCCAAGATTTTTTTCAGCAAATGTGAAAAACGTAGGAAAACTAGGAAAGTCTGTATTAAACAAATATTATCAAAAAAAATTTATAAAGCCTATTTAATTATTTTAATATAAAATGATGTATATATTGTTGACAAAGCATCACTATCAACTGAACTCCGCTCAGAATAGTTTTTTTGTAAGCAATGGTTTATTGTTACTTACAGGTATACATTATATTATCTATAACAGTGGCTGCATCCATCCCCATTATCCTAAGACGTCTTTTTAATATTAAAAATAAAGTAACTGTTGAATTACTTAAATACATTTTTCAATGAATTGACAAATCTGAAATTGACATTCAAAATATGTCAAAGTGTATTTGTTACATTCTTTATAAATACAGCTTGATATTATTATACAATCTTGTGATACAACTGATATGATTTTAAATTATTGTAATTATCAAGTTAAGCATTTGGGCTTAATTATTAACTAGAATGTACATAACAGTAATATGGTTATGTATTCAAGGTCTTTCATTTTTAAAATATACAAACTAAATAAAATCTTACCTAGAGAACTTATATATATATAAAAAAAAAATTATACTATATACAATGATATAAAATGTATTAAATGCATAATAAATGTATAATGCATAATAAATGTATAATGCATAATAAATGTATAATAATAAATGCATTGTATGTCAATATTAGATTCTGAGTGTAGTGAATAATGTAGTAGTTTTACAAAGATGTTTATTTTTTATACTGTGTACAAAAATTCTACCAGAAATCTTGATCTGAAGTATCAAGTAGCACTTTTTATGAAAAGGAATTATCCTGAGGTGGTATATTAGGAAGGTAATTTTTAGATTTTCCTAAAATGGGAAAATGTACAAAATGTAGGTATTAGTAAAAAAATATTACGGCCTATTTTTTTTCTCCTGTAAACAGCTTTTTTACCAGCAATTTTTCTCCAATTTACAATGATAGCACTTTTTCTGAAAGAAATCTTACTGGTGTCATTTTTTGAAAAAAAAAAATGAAAACACTAAGAAAATATCTACAATATTAAACAAATATTATTAAAGAAAATATTTAATGCATATGTAATTATTATTATGACATATATATTGTTGACAAAGCAACATTATCAACTGAACTCTGCTCAAAATCGTTCTTTCGTTAGCAATGTTTAATTGTTACGTACAGATATACATTAAATTTCCTTTCTAACTTCTCATTTACAATGGAGACCCACCCACATGTGAAGTACGTCAGTCTTTAACAATATGGTTTAATAAGACTTGGAGGTTATGCAGAAAATTCATTAAAATCTCTGATAATACAATACCAAAATAACAAGAATTTATTTAAATAAAAAAAAATCTAAGTCACCACAGTACCTATTTAGTGTTACCAGCCAGGTTGCTGTACAAAACAAATTGCCAAATTAAATGTACGTATCTAATGAAATTAGTTTTAAATATTCCAATATAAAAATTTGGTAGTGCAAACTGGTGTACATAACTAAACTGTTTATTATGATTCTGATTTTTGAGTCTATACTGTGTCGATTCTTGGCTAAATAAAACCCAATAAAATGTATTGAAATAAAATAATTTGTTTTTATGTTATCTAAAAATGAATAAATACTATAAATGTTAAATAGATTATCAAATTAAGAAAAAATATACCTACATATTTTATTAAAAATACTAAGTGTTACTTTATTAGTAAATACTTTAAACTGTATAATTGCCAAGAACATAATATATTATGACGAGCTAAAATGTTTTATAATTTAACACAAAATGTTACAAAAATTTAAATACTATTATTTTATTTGGAGAAGAAATATCACTTAGAAAAATAATACAATTTTACATTAATTCTAAATTTATATAACTAATAGGACAAAAACAAATTACATTTTTCATATAATTTAGGTTATTACAATAGGGTTAAAAATATTTTGATATAAAATGTGATTATTTCTAAAAATGAAATACAATTATAATTCATACTTGATTAATGCATAATATTAATTTAACCATTTATGTTTACATAACTGTTTGTTTCTCTCAATTACTACATAAATGTGTACCGTAAATTAAGATATTATCTTAATTCGTGCTTTGAACTTATCATATAACTGATTAGTTTTAACTAATTATTACTGAAAAGTTTTTAAGCATAGTAGTAATTTACAAAAATCTAAAAGGTGAAAGTTAAAAAGTTATTGATAAACTTGAAATAACATTGAAGATATACAATGATTAATGAATAATATACAAACAAGACTTAAAACTGTTAAGAGCCTTGCCACACTATGTGTTTTACTTTCCGTAAATGCCCGCAGATGCGGCAGAACGGAAAGCACATGCAACCAAAATTAAATAAGTAGTGCCACACTATTGAGGTCACATGAGAAGTTAATTGAAGAAATGTTATAACAAATCAATTATTTTAGATCGGTGTTGTCAAAAATTTTACTTTCAGTTCTGTATAATCTGAAAAACAAAATTCATAGTGTGGTAGGTCTCTAAAACTAAATCATTCTATCTTCTTGTATACATAGTTATCACAAAATAAAGTCTTAGAAAATATTTAATTTTGGTTTAGTTTTTCCATTGCTCCTGTTTTGGAAAAACACAAAAAATAAACCAATTATTAATGTCAAAATATATATTATTTAATTCATTAAGAAAATTATGAATTAAAAAAATAAACATAAGGGTTTATTATTTATTTGATTGATGATGTATTACCTGTTGCACATCTTAATTCATTTATAGATATTTTCCTAATTTCATTCCAAAGCCAAAGTGCAATAAATATTGACCATGTTTTTAATGGACCAAATATAGTAGCTATCCAACCATATGCTCCAAAAAACCATAAGCAACACACAATTTGCCAAATTATAAGAATGAAAAAAATCATATCTATATAAATATATGGAGAAGTAAAAAATGTATATTGCATATTTGGCAATATTTGCATTCTAAAATCAAAATTAAAATATATTATTTTTATTCTGTCCTTATTTTAAAGTAAACAAAAAATAGATTACTTTTTATTGAGTCGGTCACAAAGTATACAATTAAGAGGCAACTGAAATGTTACAATCTAACAAAAATAAAAATAAAAAAAATAGCAATTAATAAATAAGATAATAATAATGATTCAAGGACAGTTGGTGTATGTGAGGTGGAAGATTGGATCAAATGGAAGTTTAGAATGAGGGGGGGGGGCGATCCCAAATAGTTGGGATGAAGGCAAAGGAGAAGAAGAATAAATGTAAAATAAAATATTATAATGTATTAACAATAAATTGTAATAAGCTTACTTGTCCAAATCCATAAGCATATATAAATGAATCTTTTACTAGCCTTCCTTTAATATATATACCCCAAGGAAAAACCCATCCTAATAAATCAGTAACAAGTTCTCCCACAGCCCAAGGACCTAATAAAACAATTAAATAAGTCAAATATAAAAATAAATTATTAAATTATTATAAAATTAAATGATTACCTATACACAAATATACATAAAATAATAGTAGAGGATAAAATACACGATTCACACTTGATAATAAAATCATTTTTCTTGAGTACCTATCGATCAGTGATGACTTTGTGTTGTAGTTAACTCTATCTATAACAAATGTATATTTATTTTAATTAACATAATGTAAAAAATATTAAGTTAATGGACATAACTGTTTTTTACTTAACCCGCCATGAGTCACGTCACGGTCTTTCAGGCTGTGAGTTTATTATTTTACTAATTACTCATTGTGAGTAATTTACTTTATCTCATGCAATTCGATACCTTTAATGTACATTTTACGCTATTTTTTAAAACTATTTAGAACATTTAATTATTGTTTGTCGAATTTATAGTCATTTTTAAAATCTATAACCTATCAATAATACCCTGTGTGACTAAACTTGGCATCAATTTTGTTAGGTATTATTTTCATCAACGTCCAATTTTAAATAAAAAAAACCAACAAAAACAATCTATCCAGTCACTTATTTCTTATCTCTTCAAATAATTAATTGAAGGTTGCAATATTTTCGTTTAATTTTATACGTGTCATGTTAGTCATTACACGCTTGTGTCGGTATTTTTAATAATTTATTTTCACTTTAAGCTTTAGTATAATATTTCCATTAATATAAACTTTAATTGTAAAATATAGTAATTAAATGAAGTATAATTTTTGTAAATCATTAATAAATGCATTTGTGTGTAAAATGTTTAAAAAAATATAAGATATAAGTGAACGGTCAAAAAGACCTTATGCAACCATATGTGTTACAAATAATGATGCGACTCATGGTGTGTTAAAAAATGTTTATACGTACATAATTATATTTACATCACTTAGGTCCAAACTAAAGTATTGTATTTCTAATTTCCTATATTTACTAAAATTAATAATGTTTTCATTTATAATAAAAACCAATGATAATGAATGTTCTTTTATTAACTGATTGTATTTTAAGTTTACATTATAGTTGACTGACACACATAAAAAAAAAAAAAAACTTAAAAAACAGACATTTGTTACAAATTTATGTGTTCAGTTTTAATTTGACCACACAAGAATAGTATATTACCTTCTTAAATGTTAATTACTAATAATAGTTATAATCATATTAAAAAAATTGCTTCTGGTGGGTGTATTAATTTGTCAGAGAGAGATTTACTGATAAAAAAATGAATATGCATTACACAATGAGCTTAATAGTTTTAACTAAAAGCTTTTAATAAAAAAATGGAAAAATATACTAAATTATAGATTTTAATTTTTCTTAGTAGTTTAAATACACTTGTAAAATATTGTATACAAATTCAAAATCATAAAACACAGAATTCAGTAAATAGTAATTTTAAATGGGTAATAATTAATTATAATATATATAAATATCACTGAATTTAAGCGAAGCAAACTTTATGCCCAACATCAAAATCATAGTATTATTTTTATATTTTAAAATGTATTGTTGATATTAAATAAATTATTATTATACTAAATCTTTGGATAATACAAGTATTAGAATAATATTCTCAGTAACTTATAATAATAATTGTTATATTGTTATCTGTAATATAATAATAAATACTAAAATATAGTTAGGTATTCAAATATTATTTAAATTAACAAATATTACATATACTTAGCTTGATGTTAACTATAGAAACAAATAACTTACATTTTGTACATTTGCTAACAAATCGATAAACTATAAGCGGCAGCAGGTTAGCCAAAGACGCAATCACAAACATCATAAATAACTGCAAAAACATCTTAATTTAATAATTAAACTATCAAAATGATTAATTTGGCCATATCAGAATTAATTAAATTAATATGTTATATGATAAAAATATATTTATATATTTAATTTAAAATATTCACATAAAGAAAATTTGACTTTCATTAAATTTAATACTTAAATCAATAAATAAAAAGAGCTGATACTACTAACGGGTATGAAGTTTGCTAGGTAGTATATATAAAAATATTAAATTTAAATCTGAATCTAAACTATTTTGAAAAACAATTTAAACTCTGAACGCATAAAAAAAAACTTCATTTCACTAATTTTTTTTTTTTTTTACCACTAAGGATAATTTATGATGAAACTCATGTAAAATTATTAAGCATTTTAAAATAATTTCATCCACATAAACCAAATAAAAATTAAAGACTCAAAAATGTTAAATACCTATAAATAGATTAAAAATTGGAAGAATGTTTTGAAAATTTCACCGTGGCTAGAATGAGCTAATATATGTATTCAATAAATATTTAAGGTCTCTATGATATTTTTAACCAAATCCAATAAAAAAACAAGAAAAAAAATAATGAAACTGTTAATGTCATAAATTATCCTGTTTTTTCTAAGTTTTTCCAAATGAATAAAAAAAAAAAACAAAAAATTCAGAAATGCATCAACTAAATACAATTTTCTTTCGAATAAGATAGTACACTTAAAAATTAGAGCAATATTTTTGATAAAAAGGTTGTTTATGTGCACAAAATATTTTTGTTTTTAAACACGTCAAAGTAAAATAAATACATTCTTCATTGTACTTAGAATTCAAAAACAAACAGAACACATATATAAATACTAGTTTGACTTCATACATTTTGTTAATATTTTAACAATGATGGTTGTGTTACAAGAAATAATTTGTATGATAATAAATTTTGCACAATAATAAGAAGCAAAATGATATGATTTTCCCCCTAAATCTCAAATATTTCAATCTTTGCTACAAATTGAAAACCAAAAAACCTAACAAATTGAAAAAATAAGAGCTGATTTTAAAGTTAACCTATATATAGGTTGGAAACATGTTGTTTTTCATACTCCAAACATAAAACATTTTTGTTTAATTTTGATAGAAAATCTGATATCCTTAACATCAGTCTATGCCGATACTGACTACAAATAATAAAACATACACTGTATAAATAACATTCACTTATTTAGTTAAATATTTCAAAACATTATTCAGAAGCTAAAATATTTTGACTGGAGTATGTCACATATTAGTATAACTAACACATCATACATACATTTCTTTTAAATTTCATTAATATATTAATATATCACCAGTAAAAATAAAACAATATATTATGTATAAGTTTAAATTCTCAATGAATTTTAAGTACATTTTATTTAATAATAACAGAATTTCGAACTGTACGATATTATATTTCAATTTTCTAGAAACTAATTCAATAGGTACATATCTAACCAACATACTATTAATTTTAGTGGTTTAATAATTTGCTTTATTTAAATCATAAAATACTTGCAGAATTCAATTATTGAAATCCCATTCAAATACAATAATTGATAAATTAGAATACAATTTTTTAAATTAATAAAAATACTATTTTATGTATATTTTTAATTTTGCTGATGGCTTATTATATCTTGGCATGAGTAAATGTTAGTGTATATTAGTAGGCACGGTTTATTGCTAATACTGTCAACAACATCCATACATTCATCTGGGAGTAAGCAAGAAATTATGCAGCTAAGCCATGTGCTGACCAGCAATCAGTATGTCTATAGTGCCACATCAAGGCCAATATTGTTGTATTAAAAATTGGGAAAATATAAATTGAACACAAAACCTTTAAATTTCAATCAAGTTTGCCCAGGTTTTTAAAATTATAATTATTATTATGACAATGTACAGTTAATAAAATCTCAATTTTCTTATATGACCAATTTAAAAAACAACAATGTAAACAAAATTCAGAGTATAAAAAGACTATTTAACAAAATACGTAATATATTTTATCTATGAAATATATATTTTTTTTATACAATAATTATTAGAGCTCTGTACTAAAATTTTTATATTTTATTTTATAACTTAACAACTAAAAATAAAAAATCTCAATATTTGTATTATAACTTAAGATAGCTATTTTATAATTTAAGTTTTAAAAATATTATTGGTATTAGAAACTATCAATTAGATTAAATTATTAATTTTTAAAATTAGTTAAATTCAAATTTATTTTTTGCTATTTTTACTAATAATATGTAATTGACTAATATAAATGATAAGCATTTATCAGATTCATGGCTTGGCTTGAATTAATATAATAAGAATATTATCAAATTATACAATAGGTATTCCATCGAAAAATAAAAATGAGTATTTCAAAAATTAGTCACATAAAAAATGTCATATTTTATAAAATATTAAAAGCTGTTTAAAAATAATTGACTCAAACTTAGTAAAAGTTTTTGCTACCAAAATTTTTCTCAAAAATGGCTCTCAATTTTTTTTTTGAAATTTTAATTATAATTGTACATTTTTTATTTTGAATTCTTATTCAAAAATACTTAAAACATAACACCAAGATAATTTAAAAAAAATATTGATATATTTGTTAAATAGTTCTGTTACACTCTGTATATTTACTTACCACATCAGGAAAATAAACATTTAGTGGCCATTGTGAAAATAATTTTAATGTAGGTTTGGAATTGTCAAGTGAAAAAGCTTGGCTAACTTCATGTATACGTCCTTGAATATCTTCAACTTTAACCTACATGAAATTATAAAACCTAAATATATTTAATATTTTAAAAAAATAATAATTTATGTATTATGATTGCAGTTTAGATAAATTACATTCTAATTTTAAGTTGGTTACTCTTTTTCTTCTTCTTCTTCACTACTATTTGTGCTAGTCTACCCTTGTTCTAAATTTCCCCATAACCTAATCTCACATATCATCCTCATATACACTGGCTGTTTTCATATTTGGTCTTCCTTCTCTGTTTGTTTTTATTACCATTCTTATTGCTTCGGATTCCTTTCTTCGTATGAAATATTTATTTTGTTTTATTTATTAATAGGCTTGGAGCGCAATAAACAATAGAATCAATTTAAATTACAAATGATAATAATAATAATAATAATAAAAAAAAAAAAATGGTAATAACAAATTGCAGTACTTAACGAAGGCCAATGATGGCTCAAGTACAGCTTGAAGTTTATCAAGCGGCAAATGAATATGGAACAATGCGTATGTTGGATGCTTAGTAACCATCCGAGTTACTGTGATATTATTAAATTCGAAGAACAATTCAGATTTAAGTAGATCTGTAGTGGCATTAGGGTTAAACCTAGAGACAAACAAGTTAGGGAATTTCTGTGTTGGAGCAACAGATAAGCCAGTAGAAATATTAACACCAGAATCAACAATAAATTTAGAATGGTCTGATGTAGTTACACGATTTGTTATTGAAGCTGCTGAGACAATAGGAATTGGTTCTGCTGCTTGACAAAATACAACACTGGAAGAGGTTCTAGATGAACTAGGGATCATAATACTACTCAATTTCACATTAATCGACTAATTGTTTTCAGAAATATTCTTCAACTCAGTTAAAAGTGCAATATAGTGGCAACATCGGTTGCAATATCCAATGATTTAGGCTCTTTATAGTAACTATTGAGATAAAGCAATAGACTATTGCTCACTTTTACACCCAAAGGAAGAGTTTTATTTAAAATAAAATAAGTATACGCTTGATCCATTTTTCTAGCTCTATTAGAAACATTTCAGTGTTGATAGAAACCATAGCCAACATAATACTACTAACAATAAAAGATTAAGTAAGTCATATATCTTTAACTTTGGTTAACTTACCATATTCTCCCCTTCTGTATTTATGCCTTAGCTCAAATTATTTTTTTTATTCTCTAGAACTCTATGCACTTTCTTATTTTTCTGTTTCTTTATTTTTAATTTATTTTCATAGCAGAATCCTCGACTTCTTCTTCTGTAATTTTAGATTCTAAGTGGAGGGAGGAATGAATTAGTTTTACAATCATGTTTATTTTTCTGTGGACAAATTTTCTATCAGCAATTTTGCTCCAATTTACGATGATAGCATTTTTTCTAAAAGGATATCTGACTGAGGAGGTACTTAAAGAAGGCCGTTTTTTGATTTTCCCAGAAGGTATCCCAATAAATGGGGAAAAACATAAGAAAACATATGAAAACAGGTACAATAATAAAAAGCTGACTTAGAATAATGGGGACAGGTACAGTCACTGTTGTAGGTCGGAAGTTGGAAAGGTAGAACATTAATGGGAATTTAATGTATATTTGTACACAATGATAAACCATTGCTAACGAAAAATGATTCTGAGCGGAGTTCAATAGTGTTGCTTTGTTAATTCCTCTCATCTATTGTCCTCATGCACATCCAAAATGGGACAATCCATCTAGTTTGGACTCTTTGTACTATTTGAACGCATTTTATACTGGCTGCCAACTGACTCAACGGACCCCTTATTCCAAATAAATTATGAATGTTAACACTAAACTATATATAATTTAATAAAAATGTAATTTTGGTATGTATTAATGATATTGTAATAATTGAATACATTTTTTTGAAGACATCTGTTTTGCAGATGTGCAGTGAGAATAAGTTTTATCACTTATTATTCAGATAATACCAACCATATTATTTTACAATTGTGAACTTTAAATAAAAATAAAATATACAAATAAAATATTTGGATATACAGTGTGTTTCACCATGTTTGATGGATTTTTCTAGTGCTAAAATTATTTTTTTTTTCAATTGATTTGTCTTTGAAGGGGAAATTGGTTTGGAGAAAAAAATTTAATTTTTATTTTCATCACCTATACACAAAAATATAATAATAATAATAACTTTATTTATTCCCTTTAGAAATTTTCAAAATAGCCATTTTGTTAAAAATATTATTCTAAACATTTTAATGTATCATACAGTCATATCTGATACATATTTTCTTAATTATAGCCGTTTTAATTTCTAGAAAATAGATGTGAAAATTAATATTCAATAGAAGGTAAATTACTGTGCTGATTGTAATTCCTTATCGCATAATTTGTTATTTTATTGAATATTAATTATTTTCACGCCTAATTAAAACAATTGTAACTGAGAAGAAACTATTTATCGGATATGAATGTATAATACATTAAAATTTTTAAAATAATACTTTTAACAAAATGTATATTTTTAAAATTTTCTAAAGTGAATAAATAAAATTTTTTTTTTTTGTGTGTATGGTTAAGGGATGAAAATAAAAATGTAATTTTTTTCCGAACCAATGTCTTTCTCAAAGATAAACCGATTGAAAAAAATTAATATTAGCGCTGGAAAAATCTGTGAAACAAGGTGAGACTCACTGTATTAAACTGACCAGTACCTAAATGTTGTAAGATAAATTTTAACATTGTAAAATTACAATAATTGTATTTAATTAAATTTTAATTACTTACATTTATTACATGTAGTCCTCTTGAATATCTATTTGAATCCCATTCGGTTACATACAAAGGACTACCTTCAATATTACTGCAATTTACCCATTTATATTCTTCATCTATTTGAACTAAAACATGTTTGATAGGATCAATAGAGAAAGCTAATATTCTAAAATAAATAAGAACAAATGAGTATCATAGAAAATATAATTTTAAATATGCAATAACCTTATATATTTATTATTTGTCTTTAAATTTTCATCAGTTTCCATATTTCTTATAGTAAGCCATGGTATTTTTGGATAAGTGACTAGTATAATTGGCCACTGACCATGTCGTATATCAATAAACGTAAATGAACCATGGTCAAATGCTAATAATCTAAACCTACAACAAAATACAAGTATAAACCTCTATAGTTGATTATTTTACACTTAATTATAAATTTATTACATTCTTTCATCTTTCCAGTCACCTAGTTCTAACTCGGCAAATCCTTCATCTTGTATTGTATACATATGTGGTACCAAACCACCCAATGTATGTAAATGCCCACATAAATAGGCAATAGACATGGGATTATCACCAATAATTGACCTTACCTAAATTTAAACAACTTGTATGTATTTATACTAACAATGATATAATTTTTTTTTTTTTTTTTTTACAGTTTTACTTCCTGCTGTAAAAATGCATGAAGTGGGATAATGTCCAAACCACACGATAGGATCGTTAGTATTATTCGCTAAATAATTCAATTGAAATATTTCATCATCATCTAGGTTTCCAATAAAATTAAAAGGTCTCTTTGGTCCAGGATCCAAGCAAGCATCAATAGCAATAAAATTAAGACTCATTCCAGCATCATTGGTAACTTTATATTTATATGATCGAGGATGTGATTGGCCTTGTTTAGAATATTTTCGGTAAAAATTGTTTGGAGAATCTAAGTTTTTCACATCAAAACTATCTAAAATCAAATAAATGATATCATAATAAACACTAAATTTAACATAAACATATTAAATAAGTTTTAAAACTTTACCATGATTTCCACGAATGTCCAACCATTTAGTTTTTTCAGATACTTTTTTAGATGTTAATACATTATGGTATGCTAACCATTCTCCTTCATATTGTGTTGATCCAATGCCATTTTTTTTTTTTGCATCGGTTAAATCACCTATATCAAAAACATTTTTTATTCATTTAGAAATAAATACATTTACAGTTATCAATTTGTCAGGGATTTGAAGTATTTTTATAACAACCTATATTTATATAATTATTAAAGATGTCAAACTCAATATTTTGTGGCAAATAAATTGTTTATATTCACACTGAACTTGAACTCAAAATATTTTCATATTTTAAGTATTACTAAAGAGTCAATGAACCTCAGTAGGGCATATGATGTTACGAGTTCAGTGAACCTGGGGCCCTAATTTTTTGTTGATGAAAAGCCCAGGTGAATAATTTCAGATATAAGGTATTGTTTTCTGTAGGATGGAGGAATTCATCCCTCCTTGTTGTGAGAGGGGATAATGATACTCCTTGAGTACTACCATTTTTTGTAAGATGTGATAAATTGAGGTTGTGTCAATTCAACAGCCGGTGTAAAATTCTGTCAAACAGAAAATCTAGAAGAAGTTAACAATAGGCTTGAGGAAAGTAAAAGTAAAACAGAGTATATAGAGTACAAGTTTGGAGGAACAAGATAAGACAGCTAATGCTATTAAGTGGTAACATAATAGGAGTTGTTAAGAGTATTAAGCAGCTTGGTTTTAATGAGGATGTGAAGTGTCAGGAGTTTTATGTGAGAAGATTTAAGTGGGACTTAAAGGTAAGTTCTAAAAGACTTTAGTGAAACCAGATTGTATGATTCATAATGTTGGGTAGTAGACAGAAAAATAGAATAGAGAATGAGTGTAGCAGAGATGAGAATGTTCAGTTGAATGAAGTGACAAGAGAAGATAGAATAAAGAATGAGTACGTAAGAGATAGTTTAGGCGTGATTTAGATAGAAGAAATAATAAGAAAAAATAGACAGAGATAATTTGGGCATGTCATGAGAAGAGATAAATCAGAAACAGTCAAATTTGTAATTAAAATAAAAGTAGAATAAAAGAGATAGAGAGGAAGACCAAAAAGAGGTAATTGAGAATGATTATGAAGATAATGGGCATATGCAAAAATGATGTGAGGGTAACTATTGGGTTAAGAGGACGTTGTACCCGCATGTGCTGTCTCTGTTATACGGCTGCGTGACATACTAATTTTTGATCAGCAGGGACAACTTTGTGTTGTTAGTTTTGGTATTAGAGTGAATTTACCTAATATACAATTTAAAGATATGAATATTATCTGTATCGTCTTATTGTTTTTTTCTCGTTAATTTAATTTTTTGATCATAATGTTTCATACAACTATATCCAACTTAAAAATTACAATAATAAAAAAAAAAGACGATACAATTAGAGTGATAATATTCATCTTAATATCAAAACTAACAGCACAAAGTTGTCCTTGCTGAACAAAAATTTGCTATGTCGCATGGTTGTATGACAGCACATGTGGGTACGACGTCTTCTTAAGTTGGAAGTTTAAGACGAGAGTGGTTAGTTGGAATGAAGGCGAAAGAGAAGAAGTTTCTAAACAGTAGATAGTGAAAGAACCAACTCTAGATACATCACACACATTGTAGAATAATATAGTTAAATGTTTTAATTTCAATAAAAGTAATTGTACAACTTTTAAGTAGATATTAATTTATGTTATACAATTTACAAAGTTTGAAAACATACCACTCACTAATACAGCTGCTGGTTTAATAGTATCTAAAGTTAGTTCACAAAATTCTTTAAGCTCAGTTACTCGTTTCCAGTCATGAAAAATGCTAAGGTGTAAATCTGAAATCTAAAATAATAAATAATAGTCAATTTTTCAAAAACGAATAACAAACATCAATTTATTATTTTTATCTGTCATTATCACAAATGTACATTTATCTAATATTCTACCCATATTATAAATATTACACTAAAATTTGTCTAAAAATCAGAATATTAATTAATTTAATATGATTTAATATTGATCCATAAAAAGGTTAAAAAAAAACAAATCACAACACAGGCAGGTATTTACAGACAAATTAAATTATAAATGAGTAAACATATTTATATGAAATATTTTTATTCTTATCAAACTTTATATTATTTTATTAGTATTATAAAATATAATAAATAATAATTTCAATAACTACTACTATGTATGTACCTACAAAAATTTATAAAAATATTACAAACACGTCATATCTACTTAAGAAGTTAGTACATTTTTACAACCCATGGTGATAAATAATAACCTTATTAAACTTATTTATTATTATTATTACTACCTACCTGCAGGAACCAAATCAGTCTACTGGTAAAGTTCATTATTTAATATTTTATAATGTTATAAATATTACCAATGTATTATTATGACTAGGGCATTTTTTCATTTAATCATTGGCCTGAAATTTAATTTAATTTTTACTCTATACAACCACAAATAATTATATTATACTTTTCATGATGGGACATCATAGCTGCAGTAGCATGGTCGTATAATATAATTCATGGTTGTAGTTTAAGCTCGCCAACTAATATTTATAACTAATTACTATAATAAATAATATCTAGATTTTAATTATTAAAACCTGATAACAAAAACAAATATTATAGATACTGATTTAATCCATAGAACACTGTCACTAGCATGGAACAATATGTACAGCGCAGCCACCGCAGACCATAGAAACTGATGACAATAACTCTGTAGAACAGTGTTTCCCAATGAGAAAAATTTAAATATAGCTTGAGAAGAAGTAATATAGCGATTATGAAACTGTAATAAAATATAAAATGTGTAAATTTACCATATATAAAATTATAGACAATTTATCATATATTATTAATTAATAAGTGAAGGTATGAGATTTTTGAAAATCTACAAGAGGCGTAGAATAAAAAAAGTTGAGAAACACTACTGTACATTGATTTCGATGAATTGTATGGGTGTTTCTAATGGGAGTCGGGCCTACGGGAGTATGCTAAAATGCTAAATTTTGATATGGTATGATAATAATAAAGTTAAAATCTTGTAATTAGTATTGATCCTAAATTATACCAATACTATATACGACGTTGTATATAGTATTAGATTATAAGCATTGCAATATTCGCAAATCGTTTCCGTAATTCGTTCCCTCTACAAATATTTCACGGTGAAGACTTACTACTCAAGTCTCAAAGTTAGTTTTTAATTAATTTAAATAAGTAATTTAGTGATTTATATTGTACGTACAAAAATGGAGTGTAAATTGTAAACAACATTTATTTATTTTAAATTTTCTCGTTTTATATTGTTTATACTAATTAATTATAACTACCATGGACACAGATGAACAAATTCGGATGTACAATATGACTGATTATTATATTGGTCTTGGACTTGCTTTGTCTTCGAGTGGTTTTATCGGTATGTATTATAATGTTTAAATAATAATATTGTATTATTATTATTTTACCAAAATATAAAAACTTTTAAAAATGTTGTGAAACAAGTTTAATCTATTAATTTGTATAAATACCTACCTATAACATGTTTGATCTTTATGGGATAACTATCTTGATTATAAGGAAAATTAATAATATTTTATAAAACGTGTAGATCTGATACTCAAAATGTATATACTCTATACTCTGTCCCACGAGAGAGCATGCTGGATCTGCGCATTTTTTGTCGACTGACCAGGCCATTGTATCCCCTACATGCATTCAAATTTTATCGCCGGCAACAATGGGTATGCTCATAGTCAACTAATTTTTGTTATCGTGTAGCATGCTCTCTCGTAGGACAAAGTATAGTATATTATTTGGATATAGATTATTTGAGGATTACAGTTAATTAATTGTCAAAGAATATTACTTGTGATTTATTATAAATTATAATTTAACTGTTTAAATTACTATATTATGTACATTGCAGTATTGTGAAATTATTCTTAATAGATGTAAATACAATTACCCAGTTATAATATCTATTATAGATATGCCATATTTATGTTGTTCTGTTTCTATATTAGACTTGTATATCAGTAGAATATACCGATGAGAAAAAGTTAGAGAATAAATTGCCTGTTTTTGCTCATTAGACATACTAATTCCGTTGAAATATATAATCCTGGTTAAATTATTTCTAGAACGTTTAGTATTGACAAATTTTCAAAAATCTTTAGAATTGCCTATGAGCGATTTTTCTCCACCTACAACGTACTCATTAACCGCTGGATGAATATTAACCGCGGCTCACACAATTTTTCAACAACAAATTACTTGCAAATTGTGCAAAATGCTAAATCTAAAATAGACCTATGATAATTAAGGACATTGTTAACTTGAAGAAATTGTTAGTGACAAACAATTCAAAATTTCAGTGTGCACACACTGTTGGGAAATAATAATAAATGGCACTGTTGTTATTACTCTTAGATACTTCAGATAGATTGTAATCACCATAAATGAAATAGGAATGTTCAGAGTAATGGTTAGTGAGAAGCTTAATAAAGACAATGTGGGATTCATAAATGAGAAGGAGATTGAGGAGGAATGTAGATATCACCAACAATAAAACAGAAGGAACCTATAGAAAATAGATATAGAGCACATTAATGTGATTATCATGAATAGGGAAAACAGGAATATTTTTCAAATGGCAATAAGAACACCTTGGAAACAGTTTCTGACAGAACTACATCTGTCATACCTAAAAATATTGTAGCTACTAAGCCAAATTTTGAGGTAAAATAGTTATTGGATAACCAAATTTCAGGCAGTACATTTTTTTAGTTTTATCAAAAATCGCAGAGATCTGAGATTTGCACAGAATACTTATTTAAAATTTTTCGAGACGTGGTTAAATGTTCAAAATATTTTAGCAATTTTCAAGTTATTTAGAGCTCAAACTAATTAAAAAAAATTTTTTTGTGATTTTATTTTACTTAAATACAATTATTTTTACCCAGCAGAAATGCTTAAAAATTTAACTAAGTACATCATTTAAGCACATATTTTGATGAAAGTTGTAAAATCATTTGAAACATATTATACCAAACTTTTTTCTGAATTGTTTTTCATTTGCGGTGATTTATTGTTACTTATACCAGGTGATTCATTTAAGTTGGTACACTCATTAGGTTGGAGGAGAGTAGTTGTGCATTATTAACATGCTGCACGTCCTACCTAAACTTAAAAGTGGAATATCTCGTCAACAGCTTGACAGAAATGAAAAATTTGAGCACTCATATTTATTTTAACTAATACTCCATCTATTTATGGATATTTTAATATAGGTTGCCTTTTGAAAATCAAAAGTAGGTAGTGATTTTACCCCTAAAAATAAGGCTGACAAAGAATAACATAAATATAATATTGTAAAGCAGCTTGTTTCTTTAATGTAGAAAACAAATTAAGTAAAACGTTAATACTTTCCAATATAATAAGTGTATCCACTTAAACGGATCACCCGGTATAAATATAATTCAAAAAACTTTATGTATCCTACTTATTACAGTGGCTCACCCGTTTGTAGTATCACCTAATGTAATGCAATTTTATTACAGATGTCTATAATTATTTTTTTCATTTTATTATGTTATTTTATAAATTATAATTATTTATTATTATTAATTATTTTCTTTGTTTAGGAGCAAGTTTTATTATAAAGAAGAAAGCTCTAGTTCAAATATCTTTAGGAAGTGGACGTAGAGCAGCTAATGGTGGTTATGGATACTTAACTAATTGGTTGTGGTGGTTTGGATTATCAATGAGTAAGAGAATTGTTGTTTTAATATTACCTTTTAAAATTAAAAATTATTAAATTGTTATTTTATTAATTAACTGTTTTAGTGGCTTTCGGAGAAGTGTTTAATTTTGCAGCCTATGCTTTTGCACCAGCTTCAGTGGTCACACCCCTAGGAGCAATAAGTGTCATTGTCGCAGCTATATTGTCTTCCAAATACTTAAATGAACAGCTTAATTTATTAGCAAAGGTAAATATAGGATAATAACTTTAAATTGATTATTTATTTTACTATGGTATGTTCGTGTTTTTTTTTTCCACCAGTGAACATGATTTTAACACTATACATGAAAATATTTCTTTGTCTGTGTTTTAAAATAAAATAGCTGCTTAAGAATTTATTTTTTTTCATGCTTAAAGTAATTTATAATATTTTTTCAGTATAATTATATTGCATTTTGGTTCTGAAAATGGTACTTACATTGTAATATTAAACAAAAATGTACTTGTATAAATAGGAATGTCTGATGATTGATGAACATGAAAATCTGTGATATTTATTTTTATTTTTTATTTACATTCACATGGATCTTCGATTTAATGGACGGTGAAATATCACAATCAGCATGTGACCACTTCTAGAGTGTTAGGAAACACTTATTCAATCATTGAAATTGACAATCATTCGGCTACAAATGTCCCTTATTAATTTCATTAATCACTCGTCTGATGTTTGAAAATGGTTCACAGTTTGTTCACATAAACATGTGACTTGACATAATTATGACCTAGAGAGCATGTAAAATCAAACAGTCATAGAATTTCTCATGCGGCAAAGTCATTCTTTCGGGCTGTATGGCTGGTTGCTCTGTCCTGTTGAAACCGCAGTGGGTCAACATCAATTCCTTCCATTGCTAAGTTTTTCCAATGTTGACTATAAAAAGTTGTTGATCATGTCTCCATAACATTCATTCACCATTCACAGTAACAGTATTACCACTATTTTCTTAGTAAAAGAAGGGGCCCAATAATGCATCCTGTTCACAAACCACACCAAACCTTGGTTCTTTGTGGTTGTATTTCACATTCCTTCATTTATCTAGTTTGACAGTTATGTTTATTAATATATAAAGAGGCATACCAATTATATGAATTTCAAAATGAACAGGGATATCTATGGCTGAGTGATTGTCAATTTCAATGATTGGAAGTGCCTGCTGACCCTTTGTAGTCATATGCTAGGTGTCATTTTTGATCATTAAATTGAAGATCCTTGTGAATGTAAATAATAAAAAGAAAAATTGAAATTTGACTAATTCCTCACCGAGTTATCTCATTTTCATAAAGATAGTAACTTATGAAGCACTTATTAGTGTTAACCTGATATTATACTTTTATATATATTTACATAAATATTAAACCAATATATAATATATATATATATACAAACAGATATATTATGAGATAATATTTCATGACTTTAATTGGTCATTTAAAACTCCTTGTGGGAGGGGATCACAATACTCACATGTTACCTCTACCTGTCATTAGAGGTGACAAATGTGGTTGTTTCATGTCAATAACCAGTATAAAATTCTGTAAAACTGTGTGATAATTTCTAAACAAGACTTTGGTAGACTATTCCATCTTGTGCATCAAAAACAGATGAGAAGTATTATGGTATATGATATTTTGCATATGATACAATTTTTATTGGAGAAAATCTGGTAGAAGTTTACAGTAGGCTTGAGAAATAGAGAGTAGCACTTAAAGAATTAGATATAAGGAAATAAAACAGATTATGAGTTTCGAGGAACAGGACAAGACAGCTATTAACCATAAGCACTTATAGGTGAGGTTGAGAGTTTTGAATACCTATGATTCATAAACCGGTTTTATGAGGATGTGAAACATAAGGTTATGTGTGGTCAAATGTAAACTGTATAAGTTGGATTAAGTGGAGATAAGTGTCAGGTGTTTTGTGCGACATTGGAATTATAATGAGACTTAAAGTTTTACAGAACTGTTTTGAGTATGCCATAGGAAGAGAGGAATCTTAAGCAGTAAGCATTTTAATGATTATAAACACTAGTAGAAATAAATAGTTTGAAAATGATTGACAATAATACGAGAACAGCTGATGTATGGGAGGTGGATTATCTATTTAAATCAATTGTTAGTTTAGAATGAGGGTGGCTAACACCAAATAGTTGAGATGAAGAAGAAAAAAAAGAATAGATCATTTAAAACATTAAGCTTTTCAGCAGTTATTTTATGATTCAACACAAATGGAGAAATATTTTCATGTATTGTATATGGTCACTGTCACAAACAACGAATCTTTGACATTATATGTGATGTTAAAAATTATCCTAACTAGGTAAGGTTTTTTTGGTCATACTATGTACTATAATTTAAGTCAATAATACAAATTAAAAATTTTTGGGTTAAATGGTCTTTTAACATTTCGTAGATGTATTATAACTGATAATTAAGTTATTTATGGATAATTATTAAAACTATTGAGTTTTTTTCATTTTATTTATGTGAATAAAATTCCCCTTCTTTAAAAGAACATTGGTAATTTAGTACAAGTAAACAAAGGTTGTTTTTACTAGTAAAAAAACAAATAAGTTTGAAATTCAAAATTTCGCAAAATCACAAAAATGTTTGTAAAACTATGGTAACCAAAAAAAAAAAAAAACCCACACAAAACATTAAATTTTAATATAATTTTTTTTCTTTATTCAATATTATTTATTATTATTTTTATTTTGTTATAAATTGTGTATTTATCATTATTTATATTGTATACATATATAAATAATAAAAACTAAAATAATAAGTTATTGAAAAAATAGACTATCGATAAATACAAACTACTATCATACAAACTGCACAATAATACAGTCAGACTTATACATCTAGATGAAACATTTACCCCAAATACTAGGAGGCGTGGTCGGTCTGAGCAGATCATAAAAGATGGACTATATAATATAAAGCCTAGTGTAAGAGACAACAAATTTGCACTTTAAGGACAGCCAATTAAAACACTGTTTATTATCTCACTTGTATCTGTCCTTGAAATGAAACTTCATTGGTCAGAACAAGTTCGCATACTAAATGTCTTGTTTAGATGTATAAGTCTAAGATACAGTACTATGTTGTATATATACATTACAGACCATAAATAAATGATAACATTGATTTGATAAATTTTATTATCGCTTTTTCAACAGCTCTACGGATAACTGATGGTCACAATAAATATAAATTTAATAATTCTGAAATCCAAAAAAATTAACTGTAACACTATAACACTAGGTGGGTTATTTTTCTTGTATAATTTTTAATTAGATTTTTTTTTCTGTAACCATAAATTATACAATAATAATTATTTTTGAAAGTGATTTTATAAATACTTGCATGTAATCTAACACGAATGATGAAGTGATAAAACTATAAAAATAAAAAAGATAAATAAAGCTAATAGTGTGGATTAGTGTGTCTCTGTTGTAGGTGGTAAGTTGGGAAGGTAGGAAATATTAAGTTATTTAAATTATATCTGTAAGCAACAATAAACATTACTAACAAAAAAAACAATTCTGAGCGAAGTTTGGTTATACATGTGTTAAAAGACTGTAATTTTTAAGATTTTGTCAACATTTCATCATGAAATATTTTTAAAATATTACTATGTCTAGAAAAGGTTAATATAAAATTAAAATAAGTATTCTGTAAACATTTTAGCTCTATGATAATGTTTAACCAATTTACAACGAAAATAATAACATTATTAATACCGTAAAATTTCTCATATTTCCTATTTTTATTAATTATTATGAAAACTGGTTGATAGATTAAAACAAGTTTTTTTTTTTATAACCAACAAGATCTAAAATTCAACAAAAAAGGTCTTGTAAGTATATTAACCCAATGGTTATAAGTCATAAACTTAGTTTAAAAATCAGATTAACAAAAGTATTTATGTTGGTGAAAAAGGCCCTTATTATTCACAATATATTTTAGTATTCCCTCCTAATAGAAACCATTTCATTTCATATCTTGCCCTATTCTACCTCAAATAGGCATAACTCAATTTTTAATAATATCAGTTTATGTTGTTCGTATAATGTTTTACAATTTAAATACATTTTATCTTATATTTATATTTATTAACGCCCAATAGCAATATCAAGTTTAAGAATATGTGTACAGGTAGAAATGCTTACAAGGTGTAAGAGAATTTTTTTATTACAGAGACACATAAAAGTAAAAAGATATGGCCAGAAGCCCGACATTATAATTATAAAACATCTAGTGAAGAAGTTGATTATCATTATCTTATTAACACATTATTGATTCCTAACTTACCTTTACACCGTTATATTCTCTTTATAAATTAAATGACTGACTATTTAAATTTATACTTATAAATAATAATAATAGTTTGCAAATAACTAATTGCTTCAAAAAATAAAACTCATTTTCATATTTTTAGATTGGTTGCTTTATGTGTATTATTGGTTCAACAGTAATAGTTATTCATTCACCAAAAGAAGAAGAAATTAATAACCTCGAAGATTTATTACAGAAACTTACAGAACCTGGTTTGATCATACATTTATGAGTTAAACTAATATTTATTTGTATACATATTTTCAAATTATTATTTCTAGGTTTCATTATTTACACTAGTATAATGCTAATTATTATAACATCAATTTACTTCTATTTTGGTCCGCGGTATGGTTCTTCAAATGTTATAGTTTATGTTATAATGTGCTCAACCAGTGGTTCATTGACTGTAATGTGGTGTAAAGGACTTGGTCTAGCTATCAGAGAAACAATAGCAGGTATGTTTTTGCGTATTATAACTATTACACAATTTTTATGTTTTTGTTTGGTATTTGTAATAATAGGTCAAAGTGAATTCTCAAACTGGTTAACATATATGTTTATCGTCTTACTGATTGCATTTGTATGTATACAAATGAATTATTTAAACAAAGCCTTGGACACATTTAACACTGGAGTAGTAACACCAGTTTATTATGTTATGTTCACTTCTCTTGTGATAACAGCATCGACAATACTGTTCAAAGAATGGGAACATCTAAAATTAAATGTATGTTTGAATTGTTTTAACATCAGTCATCGCCACAGTTAATTTTAAATTATTCTCAATTTTAATTTTAGGATATCATTGGTATTATTTGTGGGTTCCTTATAACTGTAATAGCAATATTTATGTTGAATACGTTTCGTGATGTGGATATGTCTCGAAGTCATTTTGCGTGGCGATCTCGTCAGCCAGTCGTCAGAAAAACTACATTTGAAAAAATTACTCAAACATCATCCCTTATGGAAAATAATGCTCAATATGGTACCCGAAATGTTTGACATTCGGATCCCAACACAATTGAATTTAAGATCAAAAGGAAAACTGCATGGATTTCCAAATCCTCTCAATCAGGATAATAAATAATTATTATAATATTTATTTATTTTCTCAATTTTTCTAAATATATATATATATATATATATATAAAAAAAGAAATGTTTATAGTTACACTTTTACTAATAGTTGTTTTTATTGTGTATTGTGTTGATTTTATAAATATTGTATTTATTTTCCTAACACTAACAAATTAGTATATATTTGTCAGTAATTTTCTTTTTGTTTTTTTGTATTTTAAAGATAAGAAAATATATATATATAAACTTTTATCATAAATTATATTTAATCATTTAATTATTTGTTGTTAAAAAAAACCATAGTTTTAACAGAATTCATAAAAATGACCAAATATAAAATAAGTAATACAAGAATTAACAAAATTTGTATTTTTGTTACCGTTGCATTGTACACATAAATGTAAGACTGCTTTAGGATTAAAAATATAAATATATTTATTATACAAATTATGGTTATCATTTATAAATAGTTTGAACCTTTATACCTTATTCAAAATTAAATAATATATTTTTTAATTTAATAATAAATTGTTTTGATTTTTACATATTCTGTTTGGTTTGTTCAATTATACTCCTTGAAATGATCAATCGTTGAATTTGAGCTGTACCTTCATAAATTTGATATATTTTTGCATCCCTCATTAATTTTTCAACAGGATACTCTGTGTTGAAACCATTTCCGCCAAAAATCTAAAATCATTATTATTATTATTATTGTCTTAAAAACATAAGTATAGGTACTTGAATATATTATAGCTATTATCACATAACACATACTTGAACAGCATCAGTTGCACATTTATTTGCCACATCTGCAGCATAAGCTTTTGATATAGATGCATAATATGAATTACGACGCCCTTGATCAACTTCAAAAGCAGCTTTCATATATGTAAGACGAGCAGCCTCAATGCCAATGGCCATATCAGCCAACATAAAAGCAACAGCCTTAACAAGATAAAATTAATTATATTTTATACCCATAGACATTATACTACGACTAGCCCTAATACACTCATAGCAGTCAAAGATAGAGTATGCTTCTTTTTTGTAATTTGAAGATCGTGTGACAGATAATTAATACCTACTACCTTTTTTTTTTTTTTTAATAGTATTTTTGTGAATAGTGATATTATATTATTTTCTTATACCTCAAAAGCATTTTTAAAGAATAATTAAATTAGTTAGACCACTAAACCTTTAATTTGTTGTAGTTGGATGGTCTATAATTTTAATTTTAGATTCTGAGTGGAGCAAAGAAGCTTATGGTTTTACAAAGATGTTTATTTTTTTTTTAACTGCGCAACTTTTTTACTAGTAATCCCACTTTAAGTGTAGCACTTTTTCTGAAAGGAAATCAATATGGGGTAATACCTTAAGGAGGTAGTTTTTCGATTTTCCCAGGAGTTTTTTCAAGAAAACCGAAAAAAAAAATGTAGGAAAAATGGGTAAACCAGTACAATATTAAACAAATATTAAAGAAAATATGTTATACCTATTTACCATATCAGAATTTTTTTCACTAGCAATGGTTTATCATTGCTTACAGGTACACATTAAATTACCTATAACAGTGGCTGTACCCGTCTCCATTATCCTAGGACAGCTTTTATTTATGAATTGAGTTACACTTAAATAGAGTGAGGGGAATTAACATGAGATATATATTGGTGAAAGTAGATGAAAGAAGCTTAGTTATGAATTATTTATTGGGGGTTTTGATTTTCAGTTATTTTTAATAGGAGTGAATTGAAATTTTGTATCAACTAAGTTAATGTTGGTAGGGGGGGAGTAATTAACTAATCTCCCCTTACCTGTTTCCTTGATGAGTGGTTATTTTTCATGTTTCACTACACCTTTATTTTTTAGGTTAAGCCACCACTGAATATATTATTTTCTGGAAATTAGCATAAGGAAATAAAAATAGTTTAATATTATTATATATGGTATAAGAATAGATGCCTAATGGCTACACTGATGGTATTATAGGTTACATTAATGTTGTATGTTTAACCAGTGACTTCTGTAGTTTTGTCACAGATATGTATAAAAACTAAAAACGCTGGGCATCATATTTTTATACACTGTTGTATACAGTCGGCTATATAGTTATTATATATATCTGAGTTCTGTATATGGACATACCTAATATTATATATTTTATTTCTATGTTTCTACTTTCTATAACACTCTAAAGTTTATAGGCAAGGCCAGTCTGTAGTATATGTTCTGTAATCTGTGGCTAGTTTATTAATATAAGATCTATGATTATACCTTATATTTTAATTACATTGATTTTTTAAAATAAAAATACATAGTTTATCATAAAATATTTGAATGCCATATTAATATTATACCTATGAATGATAAGAATACTAACTTGGTGTCTAGCAATTTCTACTCCAAATGCTTTTCTTTCTAATGAATATTTAGCAGCTTCATCTAATGCCCTTTGAGCTAAACCAACAGCTCCAGCAGCAACTGGAGGTCTAGTTTTATCAAATGTAGACATCGCAATTTTAAATCCTTGTCCTTCGGCAGTTAATACATTTTCTTTGGGTACTCTTACATCTTCAAAAGTTATTCCTCTAGTGTCTGAAGCTTTTTGACCCATATTCAATTCCTAAAAGAAAAATAGAAATAAATATGATTTTTATGATAAAATAATCTCTTTACTTTTCGTCCAGGAGTGAGCCCTGGTGAATCAGCATCAACAATAAAACCAGTAAATGCTTTACTTGCTGGTGTTTTGGGATCGAGATCAGTTCTGGCTAACACAAAGTACCAGTTAGCTACACCACCATTGGTTATCCACATTTTTTGTCCATTAATAATATACTCATCTCCCTTTTTTACAGCTTTTGTTTTTAATGCATTTACATCTGAACCAGCACCTGGTTCAGTTACACCATAAGCCTATAAATATTTGTAATTAATTACATACCTAAGTAATCATTACCCCTAAAGTCATTATAAATTTTAATTCAACTTACAGCAACTAAAGGTTCATCAATTAATCTTCCAAGATATTTTTTTTGTTGTTCTTTATTTCCACCAATTATAACTGGCATTTGCTAAAACATAACATTTTAACTAATGTTAAATACAAAATCAAAATATATTGGAATAAAAATAAAAAGTTTAAAAATATATATTTCTTACGCCTAGGCCACTGGCTTCAAGAGCAGTTTTAATTCCAGTACACCCATAACCCAGTTCTTCAGCTACTAAACATCCATCCATTACAGACATATTTAGACCACCTAAAATACAAATAGATAAGCATAATAATTTGATGAGATAAAATCGATTAAACAGGCTGTAACTCAAAGTTCTCACATCTGAAATAACTATTGTTCTGTTTAATATTTTTAAGTTGTTTTTCTTGTAGTAACTAATAGAACCTATGCTATGATTCCTCTTATTTACTATGATTTTATATTTTTTTTTAAACTAAAATATAATATTTAAATTGTTTTTTCAAAATTCAAGATAGAAAATCCAATTGGTATAAATAATATTTACTAATAATTAATTGTTATATTTCAAAAAGAGTATTACAAAGTTTACAAAGATTGTCATGCTTTTCATCGACTACTGGTCTAAAAAGTAGAGAGAATAGTGAGTATTTTGGTAAATATGATNCAAATAGTTAAATACCTATATAATAGAAACTTAAATATTTATGTAAGATTCTGAGTGGAGTGAAGAAGCTTATAGCTTTACAAAGATTTTTATTTATTTTTTTTATTTAGGAAGGTCATATTTCGATTTTTTTAAGAATTTTCTTATCAAATGCAAAAAACCAAAAAAAAAAAAAAAAAAACGGGAAAATATATGAAATAAAGAAAATATAATTTTACGATTTTATTTTTCTGCAGACAACCTTTCTACCAGAAATATTGATCCAACTTTTAATGATAGCAATGTTTCTGAAAGGAAATATCACTGAGGAGGTACTTTAGAGAGGTTATTTTTCTTTTTTCTCAGGAGTTTTCTCATCAAATATGAAAAACCGGGATAAAACATAGGAAAACCTAGGAAAATTGAAAAAACGGTACAATATGAAAAAAATATTATTGAAGGAAATATATAAAGCCTATTTAATCATTTTACTATAAAATTACATTATATTAAACAATATAGTTTAAAATGCATTACTATCAACTGAATTTCGCTCAGAATCATTTTTTCGTAAGTCATGGTTTACTGTTGCTTACAGGTATACATTAACATATACGTTTTTTCCTAGTAAACTTGCTGAGATTTTTACGTGTAGCAACTTTTCTCAAAGATCAAGTTGTCTATATTGTACTTTAGAGAGGTCATTTTTTGATTTTCGACGCCATTTTTTAAATAAAAGTACATAAGTGGGAAAAACATAGGAAAACATTTTTCATTAACGTTTTCTACTAAAAAAAAATTATTTAATCGAAAAATCATAAGACACATTTTTTGTTGCTTTTTTGATTTACTTTCTTACGGTATCATCGCCAAAAACTTTTGAACCATATTTGAGCTTTTAAGGAATTGAAATTTTAGGAAAATTTTTGCTGTAATTCAGTTATATGACTTGAAACTTGGTAATAATATTTATATTGGACTTACCTAGACGTGGTAAAATTTCCAAAATCTTTGGACGGGTTTTTTTTTTTTTTAATAAGCGTTTTTAAATAAAGTTTAAACGAAAATCTCAAAAAAAAATTAGGGCACTTCAAATTATGTAATACTGAACTGCGCTCGGAATCGTCTTTCATCAAGCAATAGTTTAACGTTGCTTATAGATATAAATGAAATAACTTTATGTATCCTACCTTCCCAACTTCTCACCTACATCAGTGGCCGCTCCCATCCTCAGTATCAGTTCTTTTTTTTCTTCTTCGTTTTTATAAATTTTTTTTTTCTGTCTCTAAACAATTTTCCTACCAGAAAACTTGTTCTGATCGATACATGACAAAACAACTATTTGTTTCAATCACGTAATAAAACTAGACAATTTACGGTTTTATAATTGAGTAGTGTTTAGATGAAACAAAAATAGCTCAACATACAGTAGGCATTTTAAATTTGAAAAGACGTCATTGTTTAATGCGAAGGGGTGCAACCATTGTTATAAGTAATTTAATATATACCCGTAATCAACGATAAACCATCGCCAACAAAAAAACGATTCTGTGACCAGTTCATTTGATAGTGATGCTTTGCCAACATTATATATATATGTCATATTATGGTAAAATAATTAAACAGGCATTATATATAATTTCTTTAATATTGTACCGATATTTCCTAATAGTTGGGAAAATCAAAAAATTACCTCCTTAAAGTACCTCCCCATTGAAATTTCTTTTAGAAAAAGTGCTATCATTGTTAATCGGAACAAAATTGCTGGTCGGAAAGTTGTGCGCAGAAAAAAAAATCGTAATATTTTAGTAATATATTTCGTACATTTTCCCTTTTTTTCGATTTTTCATTTGATAAGAAAACTCTTGAGAAAATCAAAAAACAACCTGTCTAAAGTACCTCCTCACACCGATTTCTTATCAGGAAAAGTGCTACATTTAAAAATCGAAACAAACCCACGAAGTACATTTTAAACACTATATAACTGTATACTAGCTGCCCGTTTGTATAAACATTGTCATGACTTAAGTATGAAGGTAATTTATTATTTTGCCAACGAAAAAACGATTCTAATCGGAGTTCGGTGGTTAGTGTTACTTTATCAACAATTTATGTCATATTATGTTAAAATAATTACATATGCATTACATATTTTCTTTCATAATATTTGTTTAATATTGTACCTATTTTCTTGATTTCTACGTTTTTCCCCATAAATTGGGAAAACTTCTGGGAAAATCAAAAAATGATCTCTTTAAAGTACCACCCCAGTCAGATTTTCTTTCAAAAAAAGTGCTATCATTTTTTAACCAATACATTCCTCGATCCACTAAAAATCCAAAATGATGTGGGTGTGATGAAGTGTGATGAAGTAGTAGGTGGAGCCTTTTGAAACTCTTGGTATTACCATTCCATGTACAATATTTTATGATTTGATTGTATTATTATTAATGTTAAATTTAAAACTTTTAAACACTTTCCGAGTACAATTACTGTTATATTATACAACAGTTATTTTAAAAACGCTCGAAAACACCCGTATTCGTCACGAGATTAAGATCAACATTATTTATTATTCTTTGAGCAGGCCTGTAGACAGACCAAATTTTAGGGGGGATCTACTAGACCTTAACTTACTACATGTACACATTAAATACTTGTTAGATGGGACAACGATTAGGTCTGGGGGGATTCCCTCTTACTCCCAGTGGTTACGGGCCTATGTGTGATGTACTAAAAATACTAACAATAATAGATAATATGAAAATAAATGGCGTACTACAGTTATCGGTCCTACATCGACATAGAGAACATGGAAAAAAAAACGAAATTAATTGATGACGATTAGTCAGGAATTCAACCGGCGACCAGTGAACCCTTAGTTTCCTAACCCAACGCCTAACCTTTTGAGCCTCCTACTTATCAATGGAAAACGGTACTGTTTTACAGGTACAAGAGTATAGAAACGACAATAATACAATTATTATTATTCCTAATAGGGATTTCCCGTCGGCCATATCGACTTTTTGATTTAGTTAAGTTTTACATCTCATTAAAACGGTCATTTTTTTTACATAAATAAATAATAATCAAAAAATATTAAAAATAAAACATTCATTATCGATAGGTACTTTTATAATAATAATAATATGAATAAAACAATAATTAATAATAGAAAAATAATAAAAAAAATCACATGTTATAAAACAAAATTGTTTTTTAAGTTTATGTTGTTTGCTTGCTTGTTAATTTTAATAAAACAACAATGTACACAAATTAATATATCATATTATTTCATTTATTTGTTAATTTTTGTTATATTTACATATGAATATTTTTTTTATATCCATGATCCATAGAAAAAATGAAAAACCAATAGGTAGTCGTGAATAATATTGTGATAGTGTGATGAAAATTATCAATTGATAATATAACTCCGGCCTCAAATTAAATGGTGGAACTCAAGTTCTCATGTTATCACTAATTTAGTTAGCATTCTAGTTTATTATATATAACTAAAGGTGGACTAGATGTATTTTTTATCTCACTTTTTTATGGAGATAACCGATAACAGTTATAATATTTAATTATTATTATTCGCGATTGAAAGCGAAAGAGTTGCTACCTGGTGGAATTTATTAGAACTGCTCTACCAGGGAAGATTTACTTTTGATTACATTATATTGGATACAGACTTTTGAGTTACTTTATAATTATCTCGTTTCGTTGTAATAATTATAAATACAGCTTTATTTTGTTGATACTGTAGATGGCCATATTTATTATCTTAGCTAAATGGATAATAAATATGCATCAATTAATAAATACAAATTTGTATTGAACTTACATAATATATTGTGTTATTTTATATTTGTTATAATATAATTAACAACTCAAACAAACATTTAACAATGTTTATGTACAACTTTATTTAATAATAAGTATATAGAAGAGAATAACAATTTTTCACTTGTCAACTTGGTAGTAATATAATAATGATAACATTATTAGCGATAGTGATTAATCTAAACATACGCACACAATACTCAAGTCAGTGTATACAACTGACACATATATAATATACAATATAGGGTTTAAAATAAACTTAGTGAGGTTGCTCCGTTTTTTAAGTGTAGCGTCTTTTCTGATAAGAAATCGGTGAGGAGAGGTACTTGAAGATCATTTTTCAATACTCTCAAGAGTTTTCTCATCAAATGTGAAAAACCGATAAAAAACAGGAAAATGTACGAAATATATTATTAAAATATTACGATTTTTTTTTTCTGCGCATAATTTTCCGACCAGCAATTTTGTTCCGATTAACAATGATAGCACTTTTTCTAAAAAGAAATTTCACTGGGAGGTACTTCCGGGAGGTCATTTTTCAATTATCCCGAGTTTTTCCAGCAAATGAGAAAAACGGGAAAATCGGTACAACATTAAATAAATATTATTAAAGAAAATATATAAAGCCTATTTAATTATTTTACCATATTATGACATACATATATATATTGTTGACAAAGCATCACTATCAAATGAACTGCTAACAGAATCGTATTTTCGTTAACAATGGTTTATCGTTGCTTATAAATATACATTTATTAAATATAGCAATGGGTGCACCCGAGCCTACTATTCTAGAACGTATGACATCCATGTATAAATTATTTATGAGCGGCTCCCGCTCCTCTATCTTACTTTATCTGTCCAACCGTAACGCACTCTATGACCCCACCATGCTTACACTTTATCAATTTTATTAAAAATGATAAGTGATAACCATAAAAAATTCATTTGACAATAAAACATTACAAAAATTTAAGAAATTACTTAATAATAATTATTATAAATTAATAAATTAAAGTAAAAACAAAATGATTTATGAAGGTTGTAGTAATTTTCGTACAAGAATAATATTATCACTTTTAAGTGGTAAACCAGTCAAAATACGAAATATCCGATCTCAAGAAAATGAACCAGGACTTAAAGGTAGATTAGTATAAACATGAAATATTTTTGAATTAATGATTTTCTTTAAAATTTTAGAATTTGAAGTAAATTTTTTACGTTTGGTTGACAAATTGACAAATGGTACTAGTTTAGATGTTAATGAGACTGGTACAGACTTATATTTCCAACCCGGATTACTTATTGGCGGTGTATTAGTCCATGATTGTTGTAAATTAAGAGGCATTGGATATTATTTAGAATTGATTATGATGGTAGCACCTTACTGTAAAAAAGGAATTCAAGTTATACTTAAAGGAATCACTAATAATCAAGTAAAGTATAATTAACTTTATACTTTTTTCATAATAGAAATTATTACCTACTTCTATTTAAAGAAAGACCCATCAGTTGATGCTTTTAAAGCGGGAGCATTGCCGATTTTACAAAGAATATTGTTACTAGCTACTGATACCAATATAGAAATTAAAAAACGAGGAATGGAGCCAGATGGCGGTGGAGAGATATATTTTTCATGTGAACCTGTTAAATTTACTAAAGCAATACAGGTATATTTATAATTATTTTGTTTTAAAAATGTATTTATACTAATACATTTATTTTGCATTTGGAACATTAGTTAACCGATTTTGGAAAAATAAAGAAATTAAGAGGAACATTTTATTCATTAAGAGTATCCCCATCCATTTCTAATCGTATGGTAGAAAAAGCAAAATCTATTATGCTTAAGTTTATTCCTGATGTATATTTTACGGTGGATCATCCTAAAGGAAAATTATGTGGAAATTCGCCAGGATTTGGTGCAAATATTGTCGCATCAACAACAACTGGAATTGTTTTAACTGCTGATAGTGTATCATTACCATTTACAGGTCAAAGGACAACAGCAGAAGAAATAGCAGAAAATGTAGCATCTACTATGCTCGAAGAAATTTGGCGTGGAGGATGTATAGATTCTTCTTTTCAATCAATTGTACTTCTTTACATGACTCTTAGACAAAAGGATGTGTCTCATGTTGTATTAGGACCATTATCGCCTTATACGTAAGAAAAGAAATTTATTAATCAAATTAAAATGTGTATCATTAAGTATTTAATTTTTAATAATTAAAAATTATAATTTTTTTTTTAGAATCCAATTTTTGAGACATTTGAAAGAGTTTTTTGGTATTTCATTTAAACTAGAACCTTATATTGATCCTCACAATGAAGAATTACGTCAAGGGTATGATTCAAAAATTTTAGTAACTGGAGTTGGTATTGGTTATAATAAACTTGTTTAATATTGTAATAAAACAAATATTTTTATAGTTTATTTTTTATATTTTATTATCACAAATTAAATAAGATAATAAAATATGAAAATGTATAATAAATATTCAATTAAATAAATACTTTTTTTTATTTAATTATTTTGAGCGTTATTGGATGCACTCATTTTGAGTACTATGAGCGCTATTTAACCATTTGGTTTAGTGTTCAGTAGTGCTCATATTACAACCATGATAGTATAGAATTTGAGCACTATGTATTTAATTCGCTCTCACAAACGCTTAGACAAAAAAGGTAAGTGTAATAAAATCATTTGCGTAATCATCATATTAATGGATGCAGCTATCATAGTTAAATAATATATACATACTATATGAATTTGTTTTAACATTTATAATATTAATCCCCAATAATAAAAATCATTTTTATCTTGTTATAATGGTATCGATATATATTTTTGATAATACGTCAAAATGCTACTGTATGCAAATACTCCCTTGTTTTTTAATAGTAAGAAAAACGATTGTATATTATTGGGAAATAATTATAATTTATAAATAAAGTATTTCAAATGTATATTATTAAATATTATTGAATAAAATAAATATTAAGTATAATATTATTTAAACACCACTACAATACATTTTTCTAAACAAATTATAAAAACCATTAATAAATATTACATTTTAGATTCTTAAGGTAACAAGAGCCGATTTTATATATTTTATTTTGTGTATGTAACTAACTTTTCAAAAAATGACAATACATTTTAGTTGCATTTCAGATGTAATAGGTAAGTCATTTCTTAATTTTTCAAGCAGTTTTCATAATAATTAAGAAAACTCAAAAAGATGTACAATGAAAATAAATATATGGATATTTAAAGACATTTTAAATTTATGAGTTTTTTACTTTTTTTTTTTTTGTAATGTACTATGTGGATAAAAACTAAACAGAAATACTTAGAAATATGACATATATTAATTTACAATAAACCATATTATAAGTTGAACTTGGCGGTCAAAAAAAAAAAAAAGTAATGAAATGTAGTTTTTTCAATATAGTTAAAAATCATTTATTTACAAATCTAATTTCTTATGCACATTGATACACTTAAAATGCTACTAATTTTTGAATAATTATATTTATAGTATGCCATGCATTACATACATTGTATGTCATTGGATAAACCCGTTTAATATTTCAATAAATACATAAATAAGAGTCATAAAAGTTATTGTATGCAACTTCCCTTGTAATCGTATTTTTTAAGTAATAGTAGGGATGTAATTACGGGGGGTATGGATGATAGATCCCCACATGAACTGTATACTTATAATATATTGTTTTAAACAAATACAAATTTTCAAAATTATTACGAAATTAGAAAATTTTAAATGTTTAATTGTATTAATAGGTACTAAAATATTCGTAGTTTATTATTGTATTAGGTATACTAAGCAATATTCTAGATTTTTGATATTGAAATAAATCATAAATTTCACTATAAGCTGGTTACATACTATGCGTTGAAAACGTGGATATTTATTATAAATATCAGTAATTATAGATAATGACTTAAATATTTATTATACAATTATACAATTAACTAAAAGGCAAGCAAATCCAGATTCTAATTTAAATGTTGAAAACTACTATAAAGTATCAATATTTATACCTTACCTAGATTGTTTTTAATCACAACTCAAAGAGAGATTTTCAACCTATACTGAAATTTTTGAAGAACTGTTAAATTATTGTTATTTTTAATTGTAATTTATAGTAATATAACATTAAAAATTAATTAATTAGATAAAAAATGTGTATCTATCTTTATTATTCAAATTTAAACTAATCTATAATATATATGTTATTTAAATATCAGTGAGTACATATTAATAATAATATGTTTAGTATATATTATTAATGACATAATCTAAAAAAACTCGTAAGTAGCAAAGTTCCATCACTAGAGTCTAATTTTGTATTATAAAAATATTCTTTGCAAAACAATAAATAAAGGGGTTAGTTTCGTAATTAATAGAGCTAGGGACTTAATGCTTTTAAAAGTCCCCATTCTAATGGCTTATTTATAAAATACGATTATTATAACACTAAAAAAATGATTAAGTAATTAATTATTAAGTTACACAAAATAAGTTTTTTTTTTTTTTTAAATTGTACATATTATATTAAAAGAAATACTTGGTTTAATCATTTTTCTAATGTTTGAAAATTATATTTTATAAGTTAAATCATTTTTGTTTTTAAATATGTTGACATTTTTTAAGTGTATTAAGTCCTGAGCTCTAGTATTTAACTGCTTGATAATGATCAGCATTAAAATATTTATGCCAGTGAATGAATGCTTATATTTTAAATAGCAACAATGAAATTGGATATGTGTATAATAAACTGTTATGCTCTGATAGAGAATAAAGATATTTTCAATAAGATCTAAAAACGAATATTCAACTCTCTTTCAAATAATTTTATCAAGATAATTGCTGAAGACCTGAATGCGTAGCAAATTTCTTTAGGCCTAAAGAAAAATTCTTTAAACCACCTATAGGCCAAGAAATCTTGCACCCTTTGTTTAATGACAATAGAAATAGATTAATTTGCAGAATTAAAAATCTTCATTATAGGTAACAGCTACTGCCCTAAAAAAACATTCATAAGCACACATAGACTATTCTAGATGATAAGACAAAAAACCAAGTTAATCATATAATTATTGACAAACAACAACATAAGAAATTTGAGAAGCTTTACGAATGCGGATGGGGATACAAACCATTACTCAGTTCTGACTTCTCAATAAAACTGTTGCTAAAATGGCGTAAGAAGTAACAATTTAATACATAATTATCAAACTGGATATAAACATAATAAAAGAATAAGGTAATTATAGTCCAAGATCAGTGGGCTGTAATCCAGGTTGAGAAAGGATTGGGCAGCACATGCTCTAAAACCGGCAGAATATGATTCCAGCTGGGAAGACCTTGGCTCAAGGGCAAAAAGATATGTAAGGAAATGCGGCGAGCATACAAAAATACATAGTTTATAAACCAAAAATTAAAAAAATTAAATACCTGGTAAAGTAGTTTTGTTTCATAAAATGTACCTACCTATTCTGTCGTATAATATACACTTCATTATTTGAATTACCTTTGGAAATTTCCAAAGGGCCCAATTGCATTTGGTCTCTATGCAAAGAAACTTAATAATAAACTGACTGCTTAATTGTTTTGTGAAAAATAAATTGAAATGGTTTACATAAACGTAAAGAGATTAGGTATTTTATAAAAAGACTAATTTCCCAAATGATCTATAACACATATACATATATGTACATATTTAATTACACAAATTACCACAATGTTCAGGAATATGGCCATTGAGAAGTCCAATTGAATGTGCTTTTTTAATAATGTCCCATGGATACTCCCCAGTTCTGTCATACTCAGCAGCAACTGGAATAATTTCTTCTCGAGCGAATTTTCTTGCCAGGTCGCGAAATTCTTTTTGTGTATCAGATAGTTCTAAACAAAATATATAGAATAATTTTAATAAAAATATTTAATATCTTGGTATAAGATATTGCAACCAACCAAGACAAAATGGTGTTTCTTGTGGTAATTGACTATATGTCTTCTTATTTACAATAATACATCTAGATGTGCGGTATATATTACGCAATACCTAAAATAATTGTAAATTGAATATTAATTTGTTTCTAATATTAAATTACATTAAATAAGTAATAGTTTTACTTACTTGATTGGCTAAAATCATATTGAAATAAATGAATTAAATATAAATGACCCAATAAGACTTTATAGATGATTTGTATTAAAATGAGTGTTTATACCTAGTATTTATTGTAAAATGTTAACACATAATGTAATGGATATTATTGAGCCACGATAACAGAAATTGACGATTTGCCAGATGATTACCTTGAAGTTTAAATTAGGTAACCGTATGTAGGACAAATAAGACTTTGAGTCTTATATGTACAAACTACAAAGCAAAAATTTCAAATATTTACATATTTAAAACTTTATCACAAGCAGGAAATAATTTTTATCATAAGAAAAATGCAACAAATAAGGACCTAATAATGTTGGTATGTAGATAATATATTATGTATATGATTTTAACATATATATTTTGATTTATTTTTAAAGACCACTTAATGTGTATTTATATTTATGTTCATAATTTTATTTTTAATGTTATTAGAATTTATTAATTCCAACATCGGACACGATAAAAAGAAAAATATATATGATAATATGTATAGTAATATAAGTAATGAAATGTTATATTTATTTTGAATCCAGGACAAAAAGTCCGAAAATACAAAATATTCTATTTAATTTTCATTTATAATTAAATAATATTAGTTATATAGGTGCCGTAAATATATAATAATGTATAATTAATAATCATTTTAAAAATTTAAATATGTTTGTATGTATATATATATATTATATTATTATATTTTTTTTCCAATCGGATTTTTTTTTACCTATTTTCTTATTCTTATCATTTCGTATAACTAATAAAAATATAACGGAAATTCACTTGAGTCAGGTAGGTAGGTACCTATATATATATCTGATGTTCACCGCTGTTGTTTGTCTACAATAGATTACACTTACAAGCGATAATCAATATTATTTTTTAAATGATTTTTGACTATTATACATATAGTATAAAAACTGAATCCGGACCTTTTGCCCAACTTTTTTTAAAACGGACTTTTGGATTGCCACTTATTTTATGTCCGTGCACGTATAAATATAGTTTAGTAAAATAATTTATAGTAAATTGTTTGTAGAGCCGTTTTCGTCAAACACTCACCTGTAGAGCGTTTTATCTAATATGATTCATTAGTCATTACTACTACCTACCCGGAATTTAATTCCGGATTAAGACGTCACAAATTGATAAATTGCATAGGACATTAACTTACATAATATCATTTAGTATAATGTACACCACGGTACTTTTGAAAAGAATTAGTTATACCTACTATAACTGTGCACATAGGTACCTATATAACGTACCAATTATTACTATTTATCCGTAAATTTATTAATAATAACACCAATGGACAATCACAATAATAATAAATTCCTAATCGCATGACGCAGCGCGATGTCCAGAACACTCAAGTACGGATCGCGGTTTGGCGAAAATTGAATAATACATTTTATCAATATAAATAATTATATTATTATTATTATTTTTTTTTTTATGCTCACTTTAGAGAAAGATCATAGGTATTATAAAATAATGATTCAGCTAATAAAAATATCTACCATAGTAAATTTAGTAATTACCTACCTAGGTAGTTACATACCCATATTAAAGAATTATATAAATTATTATGATTGTAGATATAATTGTATGATACAAGTAAGTAACGTAGGTTTTTTAAGTTCTAACCATGAATTAAGTTACAGGTACTTAATATATAATAATTAATAGATATTAAATAAAAAACTAACAGAAAAAAAAAGACCGTAATATTTTACTAATACATTTCATACATTATTCGTCAATAGTAGAAAAATGGGAGAAAATAGAATAAGATAGTTTGGCCATGTCTTGGGAAGAGAAGAAACTGAAGCTGTAAAAGATGGAAAAAGAAAGACTAAAAAAAGGTGCTCTAGGATAACGGGGACGGGTGCAGCTATCATNATATAATGGATTACCTTTTTCCTTATTAATAGCCTGAAACTTCTTAACAATTGTAATACATTTAAATTTTTGAATCCATTAGTACCTTTCTACTGAAATTTGTCTACATTTTGTTAACAGAATGAAATACCTGAATAAAAGAACAATTACTGTAAAGCAAATATATACAATATTAATATATTAAAGATACAACTATTTTTATAAAAATAATTGGTTTGTGGTTAAGATTTATTATTTTAATAATTGAACTGAATATTTGACTACATGGATTTGTATAAAATAAAGTAAATGTAATAAAATTGATCTTTTTCTATTAATTTGTTTTTCATTGATTTTTATTGATACTATGTCCTGTCTTCCCATAATTTTCCTTTTGGTTTTTTAACATATTATTGGAGTTGACGTCATTTAATCGGCCTGTATTTTGTGTTTTTCCAGAATTACTATTCATAGCTTGATACTGTTGCTGCCCTTGGGCATACTGTTTAAGTAGTGGTTGTTGTTCTTGTGGCTGTTGAATTTGAGGTTCTTTAGGTTTTTGTTCGGTCTGTGATGGTTGTTGTGGCTTATGTTGCTGTTCAGCCTGTTGCTGGTATTGCTGTTGAGACTGTTGTTGGTATTGCTGTTGTGGCAGTTGTTGGTATTGCTGCTGTGGTTGTTGTTGGTATTGCTGTTGTGGCTGTTGTTAGTATTGTTCTTGTGGCTGGTGGTAATTGAGATTTGTTTGATAAGGAAGTGCATGATTCAAAGTGGGATTTGGAACATTCTGTAGATAACAATTGAAAATTGTTTTATTTAATAAAAATATACATACACAAATTATTTTGACTTAAATGTAAATAAATTGTGTCCACAGAAACAGGGAATACTTTACAAATTTGTACCTTACACATATTTTTGAAATCGGTTTTCGAAAAATGAAATTTTACTAGTGGGCCATTAATTTTTTGGACATACATTTTTTTCAATGAGAACCCCTATTTTTAAAAACATATTTGGATAGGGCGAATTTTTCAAGTATCATTAATATATCAACTTGTATTTTAAATTCAAAACTAACCGAATTTCAATTGTTAAATTAAAATTTTATTTTTATTGTACTTTTATAATTTTTTTTTAACAATACATTATATTTCATTTATTATAACAAAACTAAAAATAGATTTTCTGTTTGTAAGCAGGCTGTATCTTTTAAACTTCAAAAGCTCTAATTTAGTCAATTGTATTGCGTAAACACAGAATAGACGAGTCAAAAAGAAAAAATTGTTAAGTCCAAAAATTGAATAGTATAGGTTAGGTTAGGCGCAGTAGTATAATTCAAAAATATGGGTAATGTACAGAGTAATTAAGTGATCCGTTTCCGTAGACACACTGTATAAACTTACTGGATGGTGTTGATAATATTCTGGAGGATATTGTGGAATCTAAAATAATTAATAAATTAAAAAACAATATTCAGAATTTCGATATGGATTAATTTGTTGTTCAAATGTATACTTACGTGTCCATTTTGTATCATTTGATCAATTTGTTGCTGTCTTTGTAGTTCAAATTGCTTTAGCTCTTCACTAGTATAGATTTCGTTTTGATCAATGGTTTTCCAACCATCATCTTTTTCAAAGTCAGGTTGTTCAGACATACGCTTAAATTCATCCCAGGTAATGAGTCTATCCCGATTTAAATCAACCTCATTTAAAACATGTTCACGCATACGTTCCATTTCTTCAGCCTTTTCCATTAAATCTGCTTTTGATATTCCTTGTTTATAAAGTTTATCCATCTCCCGTACAAATAATGCTTTAAGCTCATCTTCATCCCAAAATCCATTGCCATCAATATCTAAAGTAAAATAAAATTAGTATTATATTATCTAATTATTTTTTTATACAGTAGAAACTTGATTAACTGTCACTCTCTGATAAATCACCGCTCAAAAAAAAAGAAAACATTAATGTGACGATTGTCGTAAATTCATTGCGGTGTGAGCATGCAGTGACTATCAAGTATATAAAAATAGTTTGAAATATCTCACATATGTGATAAACACAACGTGAACAAATAAATTTAATCACTTTTATTTTAATTTAATCAGAGATTGATGAATAGCCTGTGAATGCGAATTACATGTTTTTGTAATTTATTTATTATTACTGTGTTGTGTTTCAAAGATAGCAGAAAATATATTGGTTTATGCAAAATTTTTGTTAACTGTCACATTTCTGGTCTCAACAGTGATGGTTTATCGAGTTTCTACTGTACATAAATAATATCTAATCTGATTAATTAATTAACATTACATAATATGGCCTTAATATATATAGGGGAGAAATTATTTTTATTTTTTCTGAAAATGAGCTTGGTAGGGTATAAAATGTATGATATATATACAACATACCAATGTTATGAAGAGAGACAAATTTTGATAATTTTGCATTAAGTACTACCATACTAAGATTGAAAATTATAAAATTTTGTCATTATTTTGCCCCTAAAAATGATCGCAGGTTTTGCTATAAATAAACTACGACTAATTTTAATAATCTTAGAGCAGTATCAATATAAATATATGAGCAAAAACAGTTTATGCCAGTATAAATAAATATTTTCCAAAAACTGGACATTTTTAATCAAATTTTTAGTAGGGTATTCTTAAAACTAAAAAAATAACTAGTGTGTTTGACAAAAATAACTGGATATTTGCAAAATTACCAAAAAATAACCTAAAATGTAACATTTATATATTTGTATAAAATTATATACCGTGCATTGCAAAGAATGTTCTAGGATTAAAATTTTCTCCTTCCATTTCATCTTGTTTTTCCCACACTTCTTCAAGTTGCTTTTTACTTCCTGGATGATGGATCTGATACATTTAAATACAAATTTATATACTAAACAATATTTTCCAGTAAAAACAGTTTGATACATACTGGATCAAGTTTTTGTTTAACTTCTCGTTCGGTTTCTAATCGTTTTTCTTCTAATAGGAATTTTTCTCGTTCTTCATCTGTCATTTGTTTCAATTTTTGCTCTCTTTCAAAATGTTTCTGCATTTCATATTCTTTAAACATTTGTTTACGTTTCTGGTCTGCATCTGCAAGATCTTTGGCAACCTAAAATAAATGTATTATACATATTGTACTTTTAATCATATTTTTGACTTTTACAAATCAATACCTATAGTTTTTAAAATTTATTAAGTTTAATCATGCTAAATGATTGACTACAAATGTAATTGTAAGTAGTTATATAAATACACTAAAACCTCGTTAAGACACTTAATACATGGATTTTTTCCAGTCCTGGGTACCTGTAGATCTTTGAATATTTAAAAAGTACATTTAATACCTAATTCCACCTAATGTGCTTTCTTTTCTGGCCTCTTTTAAACATTTGAAAAAATCCTATTTATTACGTGGATAAAAATGGTATTTATTTAAATTATTACTTAACGTATTGTATTATTGATTGATTATGAATGGAAATTTTGATATTTTATTATAAACAACAGGAGAAAGTTTATACTCATACTGTATTATTAGTCGTGAGCGTTGATGTGGTGCATATGACATTACATAATATTTAATTTTTGTTCTGGTATGTAAGTGCGTCTATGTCATCTTGTAGTGCAGGAGTAAAAAGGAAAGCTTTGTCTATTGATGATAAATTGAACATTATTAGACAGCATGATGAACAAATTGATGTGTTGAATAAATAACAAACTAACAAACAACTCTTTATTGCCAATTCTGTATCCAGTTTAAAACGCTTCAAGAGCGTATTAACGAGATTTTACTGTATATTCTATTGGTTATAATTAATAAACAATACAATAAAATTTTTGATAAAATTGGGTATTTCAAAAAACACATACTTGTTGAATAAGTTTTAGAAGATCTGCCTTTTCAAAGCTGTGTGGATTTTCATGATCAATATGCTTTGGACTAGTATCACTATATACTTTTTTTGCTATATCACGCAATCTATTTAGTTCCTGGCGTTTGAGTTCATCTAATTTTGAACGAATATGATGGCTTACATAATCCAATTCGTCAGCAATTTTACCTGTCTATAGAAAATAAATATACATAAATAAAAGTCACTAATACAAGTTTTTTATTCCATGACATGTTTTATATTGAAAACATAATAAGCGAATGCTTCTAAATTATTTTAATTTAATTTCAAATTTATACATACTCTTATATCAGCATCATTAGCGGTTTCGAGTTTTTTTTTGAATTCATTATCTTTTTCTAATGTTTCTACAACTTCTCGTAAATAGCGGTTGTATTCGATACCTAAATCAACCTAATCAAAAATAAATTGTGCTTATATAAATATTCGATGGCAATTTTAAGTTTCTATTTATTTTTAACTGAATTGCAACAAAAAAAACTGAAACTATATCAAAATTCCCATTTAACCAACAATTTTTTTTCCATAATTAAGAAAACTATAAAAAAAAAAAAAAAAATCAAAAGATAATTTCTCAATATCACTGAATCTACAAAGTTTCTTCTGGCAAAATTGTTTACCCATGAAGTTAAAGATGAGAATAAAATTTCTAGTTAGAAAAGTTGTTACTTTGAGATTTTTTTTAGTACCAAAAACTGACAAA